AAATGGCAGCCATTTTTCAAAATGGCCACCTTCTATCAAAAGTGTCATTAGACAGTGTGTCATGCTTGTAGTATTCACATACCAAATATGAACAAAATCGCTACACTACCTTTCGAGTTATAGTAAAAATACGTTAAAATGGTAGCCATTTTTCAAAATGGCTGCCTTTTACCAAAAGTGTCATTAGACAGTGTGCCATGCTTATAGTATTCACATACCAAATATGAACAAAATCGCTCCACTACTTTTCGAGTTACAGCAAAAATAGTAAAATAACGAGTAAAGGCCGCCACTTTTCAAGATGGCTGCCATGTGCTTCTTTAATATCTACATTTCTAGCTTTATTAATGTCCTAAATAATTTTTTTACATTAAAGCATATTGCTATTACAGTTTCACATATTGCACCTAAATTACTGTAAAATCGGCACTAAAATGGCCGCCATTTTTAATTGAGCGGCCATTTTGAAAATCGGCTTTCGAACAGAACTTCTACCCCCAAAGGGTATATGTGTACAAAATATGAACAAAATCGGCCAATGGTATTTGAGTTAATGCCCGAACAGACAGACGGACGGACAGATGTACGTACGGAGAGACGTACGTATGGACAGATGGATGGACGGATGGAGGCGTTCCCTATATCCCTCCAAACTTCGTTCGATGGGATAAAAATTGAAGTCAGTCTAAACAGGATTTGTTAAGTTATTGGAAGTTTTCAGATTTTTTACAGATGACAACCGCCAAGAATATCATGAATTATAAAAGAAAACAAAATGCAGGAGTTATATACTAAGACAGACGTGTTCACTAAGACAGGTTTTACTGTAGTACTTATATCTAATATAAATTTATAATTTGAATTTTTACATTCAATACAAAATGCATAGCAACATTAGTGGTAAAACACAAACTAAGGAATTTATACTGACAATTACATTTGGTGACTTGTCTAAATACCATCTTTCAGTTTTATCATCATAACTTTCATAGAATCAAATGCTTTATTAATCACTTTGACATTGAATATGGTTATTAGGAAAATAACATAGATGAAAACTTTTAAATGGGCAATTAAAAACAAATGTTAATCTATTATTGCCATCTTGAATATTCTCTGTGAATGGAAATACTGATCAATACCTTTAAATGGGCAATAAATCTTGATATGACAGCGAGCATATTTTAATCATATGTTTCTGATGCTAATGAGCTGAGAAGAGCAGAGCTGTCAAGTGTCCCGCGAATGGCGGGATTATCCCGCGAATTCGATCAAAATTAGGCTAATTCGCGTGTCCCGCAATGTCCTGCAAAGTCCCGCAAATGTGGCTTTCGACCTCCGCGAATTTCCGAAATTGTTGCAATCCCCTATATGGTGATTATCTTATCTTATATAAGAAGCTAAGTTTTTGCACTTTTGAGGAGTAAAGTTTACCTAATTTTAAGTAGCTGTTGTTTGGTATCAAAATAAAGAGGAAGGGTTTAACTTGATCATTTTAATTACGACAATAGGGATGAAGGTCACAAATAGTTCCAACGTTGGCCTTTTTACTATCCGTGTTGCCTTCCTGAGCAAATGTTAGCAAACGCGAGTTACAATAAATGGACGCTGATATCTAGAAATGGTTTGTAGAAAAAACCGGGTACCGGGTAGTAAATCCTCCATGCTGGGTTCAAACTTGGTACCCGGTACCCGGTCAAAAAACGGGTACCCAAAAAATAAAAAATACGAATATACGAGTATAACATAATTAGATTATCAGAAAACGTGTAAGATTTGTTTTGAATTTACAAAATTTAAAATGTATGTAACAGTCCTTCAAAATTGAGCTCGAAGCTTCAAATAAAAAGCATATTTTAAGGCTCTTTTCTTCCTCTATCGTCATGACCATATTTTCATTGGTTATGTTCACGTACCAACATACGAACTCATTGAAAATAGAGTAAAATTGATTTGTCTTGTTATTCAAATCGTCTTACAATGTCATTGGCGTAGCCAGGAGAGGGTGTGATGGTGCGATCGCACCCCCTCCCCATTCATTACCAATGGAAATATGACCATGATGATAGAGGAAGAAAAGAGGCTTAAAATGCTTTTTATTTGAAGCTTCTAGCTCAATTTTGAAGGAAGTTACATTTTTGTAAATTCAAAACAAATCTTACACGTTTTCTAATGATCTAATTATGTTGTATATTCGTATATTTCGTTTTTTGGGTACCCGGTTTTTCGACCGGGTACCAAGTTTGTCTACGTAAATTTTATTTATATTATTAATTGCATTACATTTACATGTACATATTTATATTTACATTTACATGTACATAAATAAGAATGAAGGAATAAAAAAAAGAAAAAAAAAAGTTTGAACCCAGCATGGAGGATTTACTACGCGGTACCCGGTTTTTTCTACAAACCCTATCTAGAAAAGTAACCTCATTCTATAATTTGATGTAGATTAATCGAACCCCTATATCATGGGCTTTCAATTGAAAGCCCATGCCTACAGTATGGTAGAAGTTGGTCACGACGCCAGAAGCAGAGAAGTGCAAAGTATTGTTCAAAATTTTTGAATTTCGTGTTAGATTACGATACTCACACCTCAAGCATGGTTTTTGTTTTTGATAAATTACAATAAAGTTTAATAATATTTCTATGCGTATTTTGTGAAATTATGTTGACGTTTATTTAAGTTACAATGTAACGGTGCATTATATTTGATTAATCAGTATCTGAAAGTTTGATTCAAGTACTTTTACACGCTTTTACATTAGTCCAAATCACGCAAATCCCTTGAATGTCCCGGGACATCCTGCAAATTTAGGTGGATGTCCCGCGAAATCCCGCAAATTTAGGGCACTTTTTCTAGAAAATCTGTCCCTCTATGAAGTTTTTGCTGGTAAACCTGTTAACTGTCCCGCAATTAGGGTGTTTGTCCCTCGAATGGTCCCGCGAAATCACGCGAATTTGATAAAAAAAATTGGCCTATAAGCGCAATCACGCAAATCCCTTAAATGTCCCGCAAAATCCCGCGAATTTAGTAGATGTCCCGCAAAATCCCGCGAATTTTGGGCACTGGGTCTAAAAAATCTGTCCCGCGAGAAAATCTTTGGGGGTTGACAGTACTGGAAGAGACATCTCAAAATGAAACATACCAACAAAACATAACTTGACTGCAGTAACAGCAAGTCGAGCCAGTTCTTGTCAGAACCATTCATTTGAATGTAACAATTTAAACCATATACAAAGTGTGTATTCAGATCAATTAATGCTTTATTTTTCTAATCAGCTGTCAGACATCATAATGATAATATAAGTAATTGACATCTTGATCGTGACATAACAATGCAATAAAAAAGACTTGAATTTTGACCTAAAGGAATCAATATAATGTTTTGATAAATGTATTTGGACATGTTTGGACATGTTTTAAGCAATATTCAAATTAGTTGTGACGTTATTAGCCCCCACGTGATCTCTGACTGGTCCCCACGTGGCCAGTTTTGGTCCATTAAAGCATGATGTGATAATGCCAAGATGTTTTATTATTTGTTTACACAACAAGGAACCAAGAAACCAAAACTATATATTATGTTTGATGTTACTAATCACGAGAGGGCCAATTGGATTGATAAGTTAATTTTATCAAGTTATTTATGACCATTAACATTTATCTATCATTTCTTTTATAATGGCTATCACAAGAACTCTATGTTGGGCTTCCAATGAAGAAAACCGCTTTTGTAGATGCAAGTTGAAAAAACCTATCAAGTTTATTATTAAAGGCCCCATCAAAAAACAAGGCATTAACATGACAAAATGTCACCACCTATAGCTAGTTGCTCACATTATTATGAGTTCAATCTTAAGTTGGATTTGAACTTCTGAGAACTTGTAAATAATTTTGAAAAAATGGTCAGTTAGAGGCAAGTGGAAAACAGACCATTTTTTAAGTTGAGAATGTCATTGAGGGTCAAGTCTTCAATCCAAAAATCAGATTTGACTTTCTGAGAACCTGCAGATGATTTTGAAAAAAATGTGAAAGAAGACCTTGAAGGTCAAATCTAAAGTCAGATTTGAACTTCTGAGAACTGGTAGATGATTATGGACAATTTGAACAATTTGAAGCAAGTTGAAAAAATACCATTTGAACTTTTTTAAACTTTTTTTACCTTGAAAAGGTCATTAAAGGTCAAATCATGAATATGTCAGATTTGAACTTCTGAAATCTTGTAGATGATTTTGAAAAAATTGAAGTCAGTCTAAGCAGTATTTGTTAAGTTAGTGGAAGTTGTAAGAATTTGTTAAAGACACCAGACACCAACTGCCGATCACCAACCACTGATCACCAACCACTGTCAAAAAACGAGACCATAAAAATATGTCACCACTCTTTGGTGGTGACATAAAAACTGAACACAGTATTGTGAAATCTTAAGTTTTCCTCACATAAAGTATGCAATATGTAGATTTTTAGAAATAGACTTGACAAGGAATGAAACCCAAAATATTTTAACAGGGAAATACTCATGTTAATTTTACCTATGTTTGCAATTAGTAATTCGTAAAATAGCCTAAAAGATTACTGTGTATTAAAGGAAACTGAATGTAGTAAATAACAAAATATCTGGTTGATATCTGACATCTGATAATTTTCTGATAATTGCAATGATTGGTAACTTGTCTAAATAACATATTTTATTTTGTGACATTGACTTCTTGAATTAGTAATTTCACCTCTTATCGAATCATCATGATTTTCATAGAATCAAACGTTATATTAATTGCTGACATTGAATATCCAGGTTCTCAGAAAACTTTCAAAACTTTTAAATGGTCAATAAAAACCAAATGTTAACTTATTACTACCATATTATCTGAATGGAAAAATACTAATCAATACTTTTAAATGGGCAATAAATGTGCTTTTTATTATCTCAATATTTTGACTGACAGAAACATATTTTGAAAAGTTGAATGAAGATATTGTGTTTTCAACATACCGTTAATCATTAGATTTACATAACAATGATGTCAGAGAACATGCTTTGAACACATATTTTAATCAAATGTGTTTTTGATGCTAATGATTGAAGAAGATGCCAAAAACTCAAAATAAAACACAATATAAAAACATAACTTTGACTCAGTGGTAACAACAAGTCGAGTCAGATCTTGTTAGAACCATGCATTTGAAGGTACTTTTAATAGTACTTCTCATCACACTTGTTGTGGACAACTCAGATGCAAAGAAGAGGAGAAAGAAGAAAACAGGAAACCAGATTGCTACATGCAAGAAAACGGACATTGAAAATCTTGTCTCAAAATTGAATGCCCTGAGAACTGACACCCAAGGTTGCTGCGAAAGAAGTGAGGATGATGCCGCCCTATATATCAACCTGATAGAGATTAAGAACAACGTGACCAAGGCTAGGACAATCATTGAAGAAGTGAAAACTGATGTTGAAGAAATGAAAAACGATGTCACAGTGAAGCAAGACATTGAAGAGATGAAAAATGATATTGAAAAGATGAAAATTGATACTTCCTTAATGAAAGAACTCTTGGAGAAGATGCATAATTCACAATGTGAATCAGCAGGTAATGTCTTGAACATTTGAAAAGATTAGGAACTGATTTGTAGACTGGACCAATTTGAAAGAATATGTTATGAAAAAGAAGCCATTTTTAAGCCTTGATATTTATTCTGTTGTTTGTGCAAATTGCAGGGTGATGGGAATATTTCGGTATTTTAGAGACAGTATCCTTTTAATAATTAGTCAATAACTGACTTAAAAAGGAATAGGGACTCCTCATTAAAGAGATTGCCTAAATGGGAGATTGAACAAAAGAATCATGCTAATCTATTTGTTTATTTTCCATTCATCAATCCTCCTGAATCTGAAACAGCAACAGGTGTTTATTTTATGTTATTTGTGCAAATTGAAAAAAAACGTTGATCAATTAGTAAATTACTGACTAAAAAATAGCCTCAATTAAGAGATTGGAAAATTGGACAAAAGAATCATGCTAATCTATTATTTTCCAGCCACCAATCCTCCCGAACCTGAGACAACAGAACTGCAACAAACAACTGAAGTAACAGGTAATGTATTAACTATATATAGACTAATAAACATTATCATTAATACTAATAATGCAATTTACACAAATCAGATGCTAATATAATACCTATACCAGATGTATATCAAATTTTCACGATATGTGAATGTAAAAATAACCAGAACAATTGATTTACTGGGTTAAAATGGTGTTTCTATGACTATAGTGACTAACATTATAGATCAGTAAATGTAATGTCTGATATGATCACACACTTTCATCACATTAACCGTAATGAAGACCTTGATTCTCTGATTTACAGAAAATATGTGACCACATATTTTATCCTAGCTGTTGTCAAAGATTTCAATCGCTGCACAATTTCAGTTACCGGTAACAATATATAGAATAAAATATTTTGTCATATGAATCAGTCTTAATCTTTGTGACTTAATGAGTTTCAGGCTCAAGAAATCTTTATGTTTTTTTCAGCAAATTATCCCATCGACTGTAGCGACAAAACTGGCTTTACTGGAGTAACGATAATCCAACCAGAGGGGCAAGATTCATTCCCAGCATACTGCAGTGAGAGATGTGTCTACATCACCAGACGCTTTGATGGGAGTGTCGATTTCTATAGAGGATGGGCTGAATATCAAGCAGGATTCGGGAATCCAGATGGAGAATATTTTGTTGGCTTGGACAACCTTCATGGTTTATTGGCACAGGGGAACTACAGACTACGAATAGAGCTAACCACGTGGCCTCCACAAAATGAAACACGTCACGCTGAATATTCAACAGTCAAGGTGGCTGATGCAAGTGATAACTATCGACTGACCATAGGTCAATATAGTGGAAATGCAGGGAACTCTCTCGGCAGGCACAATGGTATGCCATTTACTACAAAGGACCGTGATAATGATCCTAATTCTGATAACTGTGCTATTAGATTCAAAGGGGCAGGGTGGTACACTAGTGGATGTCACAACACAAATCTGTTTGGTTCTTACAGCAGCGGACCTGTTTGTCCTGCCCGTGGTGTGTGTATGAGTTGGTACCACATGTTTGGGAACCATTCTCATTCTCTCAAAAAAGTTGACATGAAAATTTGTCCAGTATAATGCAAGCTCTACTTTTCAAAATGTTTTCCAAATGACAGAAAACACACTGGATGAATAACATAGGAAATGTTATTTGCATTTTCAATTTCATGTAATGTTACATGATGAATAAATAAATATAAGTTAAGTGCCTGAACTAAAAGAAATCAAATGTGTCTGTACCAATAAATCTTAAGTTTTATCTGATCTACACATAAAAACTCCATTCTGTCCATAAAATGACAAGACTACTTCACAAGGTTTCCAAAACATATTCAATTGTCTAACTTTTTTCTTTAGTGGAATTCAATGACACAATGTGTGGTTCTTTAAACTCAAAGCTATAAATGCTACTCAGGAAGTTGCTGACAAGTTTATTTAGCAAAACAACATGGAATAAGATATTTCAAAACTAAAGGACTGGATTTTTGTGATATTCTGTACATTAAACAACAAAAAAAATTATTACCAAGAACTTCTAAAATATAAATATACTTGATTTATACCGTAAAGCGCAGGTCCTAGAATTGTGCCTTAGGGCAAGCCATATCAAGTGAATAATATCAGAAGCAGTATCGTCATATTTTTAAACAATATGTGTGATTATTCAACATACTCTTAATGTTCATTTTGAAATTAACATAACTTTTGCTTTAAACCTATAAATCTACCTTTATAAAATTCAGAGATTCTGAGATGTTTGGCCAAAATGTAGCCATTTCTGATTATATATGTAGAAATCAATCTGCCAGTACAACTTTGATATGTAAAATTCTGCTATTAAGAAACAAGCTTCCGGTACAATTTGAAACAAATCTGATTCAATGGAATAATTAAACCTGAACAAAAAGGGACTGTGTGATTTAAACAACAAAAATTAAATAGAGATTGAACTGAACCTCAAAGCTTTTTGTCCAACATAACCTCATCCTTCATATGCACCCTGGAATAGCCTGACAACGGTAAAGTCAGATACCGTTGTCACAAAAGGCAGACATAACCGTTGCTTCAACTGTTTAATCACTTGGTCCTCATTTCATGGGATTTTATCGTCGCTAATTCTGTGCATGTATTAAGCTCTTGTGATGATGTTTCATATGAAATCCGAATTTCCAACAAATTGGGTCGTGAATCCCCACAATATAGCGTCTTCGATATCGTCAATGACAACAAAATCTGAATCTGAGTAATTTAGAAAGACAACAGCATATGGTAGTTACAGTGTCCATTGTCCCGTATTTCATTTTGATCGGTTAAATTAAAGACTTTATTTCGATGGTAGGACATTATTAACTGTACAATGAGTATTTAGACACTTTGATTGATTGTTGTTCCAAAGGAATTTAGTTTAGGTGCTCTATTAAGAAGACAATCATCTTAAATAATATGCTATGTATTTTTAAAAGGTATGTTTATTTGTGCAAATATTCTATGCTAAAACCAACACTTAAAGGTTTTATAAGTAATGTGAAGGAATATTTTATTATGGACAAACGGGTTGGCAGAGGCGATAAGTGGAAAATCATGGAAACAAAATTAAACGAATGAAACTGATGATTTTTTCCTTTAAATAAAAAAATGCCAATGGTATAACGTCTCTTAAGACGAAATATTTAACCAATACTGTATTGTAAAATTGCTAAATGTAGGTTTACCATGTAACTGTACTGTAATTGTTTTTGCAATTGCTTTAACATGCTTATTCTTTGAAATAAAAACATTATAAAAAAAAAAAAAAAAATCTAATTGAAGCGACGGTTATGTGACAACGCCATTTGTGACAACAGTATCTGACTTTACCGTTGTCAGGCTATTCCGGTGTGATATGGTACTCACCTGGGCTCTTGAGTGAGGGAATGTATCATTGATAGCTGGGAGGTAACGACGTCTGCCCATGATAGTCTCCACATAGCCATGTTTCCTGCAGAAAGCTATTGTTTCACGCAGGTATGCCCGCATACCTATAAAGCAATCAAAGTAAGATATAGTTGTATTATGTCTATGAAAGTTTGACCAATTAAAAGCTGTAAATAACCATATCACTATGTTGAGAAAGGACTAGACTTCCCTAACTCACAATAACGTGCATCGTTTATAAAATTCTACTCTCCACTGAGATTTGACTGGCCCCAGACCTCTGATGTTTTTTATTTACTTTTTACTATTTTACTTATAATTCAAATTGCACACAAAAATACAGCAGATGGATGAGTGAGTATGTATATTGTCTCATACAATAATTAATCAAGATGAAACATGTGAAACTACATTTTCAAGTTGTTCTTGGAAATCCATAACTTTTCTACCTGTATATTTAGCTTTGAATGTTTCAATGAAGGCTCCTGCATCTTCCTCTGTTACACCCAGTTGTTCCCCTAGTGCCTTAGCTCCTATACCATACAACATGCCATAACATACCTGCATTAAGATTATTCAGTAAAATATGATATGGTTGGTAAAAATATACCATACAACATGCCTTAACATACCTGCATTATCAAATAATATAAATAAGATTATTTTATTCATCAATGCTTGAATTACATTCATAGTAAAATAATGATATAGTTTTACATAAACAAATGCAAGGGATAACAAAAGGCAAATGCCTTTTATGAAATGATCACTCCTTGTAAATATTTGCTGATTAGACTTGGGAAATAGGAACGAGGTAAAAATATATATCATACAACGTGCCATAACATACATACATTTAATATAAAATAATATAAATAAGATTATTTTATTCATCAATGCTTGAATTACATCCATAGTAAAATTTGATATGATTGGTTATACATAAATGAAAGGGATGGGACAAAAGGCAAATGCCATTTATGAAATGGTCACTCCATGTAAATATACTTTGCTGATTAGAAAAAAGGAACAAGTAAAATATGCTCACCAAAGTTACCAAATCAATTTGAAGAAGGGGAGTAAAAGTAAATTATTACGGAGGTCGATCCAAAATGCAATTCATAACAAAATATTTGGACAATCTGAAATATTATATTTCAATAAAAGCCTTTTAAACTAAATCTTGTGTATTTCTAGTGTGTCTAATTATTTCTCTGTTTTATCCATTATAGCACAAATTAGCAGTGTCAAACCTGTTTTGCTTGTTGTCTTTGTGATGATGTCACTTCCTCTACACTAACGCCTTTCCACTGGGAAGCGATTAATTTGAACACATCTTCACCACTATTTAGAATTCTTGCCAGCTTTGCATCATGGGATAGGTGCGCTATGATGCGTAGTTCCAACTGGGAGTAATCAGCGGCAAGGATTACTCCACCAGTAAATGGGATAAAAGAATGTCGCATACTTATGGAGAATTTCTCTTGATTTGTGCCTGTACATTTTGAATGTTGTTTGTTCTGTTTGGTATGGTGGCGACCCCTGGTAGAGACCGATGGTACTGCAGATTGTGGGCTGTTGCCAATCATATCTAAAAATGGAATATTCAAAGGATGCCAGTGTGTGAAGTTGAGACAGAAAAATGAGCAGACCATCTCCAAAAATGAACAAAACATTGGTAGAATCTAAAAACAAAGAATATAAATGAAAAGCTTGGTAAAATGGCTCTTGACCAAAAAATGTTAATCAAATATTCAACACTGACTGATGTTGGCTCTATGGCTATATTTTTCATAAAACAATTATTAGCGCAGTACACTGATGAACTTCTTTCTCCAAATCGAGACTTGTCTTTTATTAAATCAGTCCTTTTATCATTTTCCTAATTTTAATTTTCCTCAAGACAAGAATCTTCCCATTGGATAACATTATGAAGATAATATTTCTGACATTTAATTTTCCTTACATGGCAATAATTAGGCAATAGGCAAATTAAATGATTAGGCAAAATTACAACTTATACAATATCCCTTATAAACGACCTTATTTTGTAAAACTTTTTCCCATAATAATTAAAACATTCATGTACATTTGATTTAAACCAACATATATGGTATATGACAGAATAAATTTATTTATTTATTGGACTGTTACCTGGCATATTAATTTCAAAATCTTTGGGGATATTTTGGAGATTTGGTTCACTCATTGTCACTCTTCCTGTTGCTGTGTGAGTTTGACATTCACCATGGATACGCTCCATAGCAACACGCCTATTGAACCGCTTCTCTTTCTGTATGGGAAATACCACCTGAAATACATGATTCTTTATGTACACATAGTGGGAAATAATAGCTGAAAGCAATGTATCTCATTTACACAGAGGGACACAATTGGAATCTAAGTACAATCAATTTCACATAAAAGATATATACAGGGTGTTTCATATTGACCGTCCCAGAGAGCTCCAGATGATTCAATGGATTATATAGCAATCTGCTCCTCTCTTTAAATCCATTAGGAATAATAGCCACAAAGCATGCAAACTGACGGTGTAGTGACAATCAAACATAAGATTACAAAGTATGTTCCCATTGAGCAGTCATGCTAATATTTGGCACATGGGTCCAGAATTGAATAAGCTTTATTATGGTATATAGGTTATGGGGCCATGTGATCTAGGATTGGCTGTGGATGGGGGGACTGTCATTATGAAACACCCTGCACATATGATAGTACCCTTAGAGGAATTCAGCAGTGACTAAATACAATTATATCATGCTCAAATAGTGCAATTCCTGAAAGCTGAACACAATATTTTCAATAAATAGATTTCCTTGATATTTTCACAATAAAGTATATTGAAAACATTCCATTAGCTTTATTCATTGATGATTTCCACCATTTCCATTCTATTTCAGTATTCAATATATTTTCTGACTGACCTTTGTTATTGCATTAGTTATCCTTCTCCATTCTAACACAACAGCCGGTAATTCATGAAACTTCTTCAACTTTTCTAAAATATCCTTGGTTGTGCTGAATTTCGGTTTACCCCGTACATTTGCACGTCTGGATGGGCCTAGAGTTTTTGTCACACTGGTGGTAGCAGTGGGATCACCATTTGGTGGCAACTTCAGCTCGATAAACAGTACCTGAAAATTCAAGATGAATCTAAATTAAAGGAGATTTTTATTACATCATATGATATTGTATTGCACAATGTATTGTATGATGATATACAGGAGTACTATTATATTGTTTTGCAAATGTTAGTATTGTATTTTATTGTACTCTATTGCATTTGGTTACATTTTATTATATTGTATTGTATTGTACTCTATTGCATTGAGAACTCATTAAATAACAAACATGCATAAATGACTAAGTTGTAAGTTGTATGGACCACACAGATCAATGTTTGTCATCAATGTACAAGTGAGTATCTCATTCTGCAATAGATAGGCAACAAAACAAACCTGGTTACATGCATAATGGAGATATAATAGACACATCATACCTTTGCCAAATCTGCTGGGGATGTTAATGAAAACGGATGCCTGGCTAATTCATAGGCCTGTTGTTCCAGTTCTGATAATTTAGCTTGCATCATATTGTACTGTGCATCACATTCATCCTGACTGAACCCTACATTGTGATAGAATAATGTGATAAATTGTATACTATAGAATAACTCCTCAACTCTTCAATTTTAAGCTATGAGAAAAAATCCAGTAAGGTTTTAGATTTTCAAAGTATGGTATTTCAGAATGTTGGATATTTCTATCACAAATAAATCCTTTGGAAACAGAGTGACTGATATATCAATCACAAAATTTTTCCCAAATTTCACTTATTTCATAAAATCAGATATTATCAAGCATTGTACAAGTATATCTAGATTATAAAGTGGCAGAACTGGCAAAATGACCTGGTGTCAATAAAGTTTTAAAACTGAGGGTGATACACATTTCATCTATTGAACATCTTTCTTTAATGATATAGAATCTTAGATAGCTGCCATTGTATTTAATATAGCCCTTACCCATGCCATTGAGTTCCTTGCGAGAAAGGCATATCTGAGAAGGCATCTCTACCTTCTGGAAGGCATCCAACATATTCACCTTCTCAAGTTCCTGCATGTAGTATACCATGAGATGTTGTACTAATACAGCTTCTGTGGCAGCTCTCTGTCGTCCACTGCCAGCTGTTTGGGGAGTGACTCCTATACTGCTGAGTCCATTAATACCTCCTAGACCTATAAAGGCAATAGTTTAAAATATAGGGAAGAGCAGAGGGGGGTTAATCTCTCAAGTTCCTGCATGTAGTACACCATGAGATGTTGTACTAATACAGCTTCTGTGGCAGCTCTCTGTCGTCCACTGCCAGCTGTTTGGGGAGTGACTCCTATACTGCCGAGTCCATTAATACCTCCTAGACCTATAAAGGCAATAGTTTAAAATACAGGGAAGAGCTGAGGGGGTTAATCTCTCAAGTTCCTGCATGTAGTACACCATGAGATGCTGTACTAATACAGCTTCTGTGGCAGCTCTCTGTCGTCCACTGCCAGCTGTTTGGGGAGTGACTCCTATACTGCTGAGTCCATTAATACCACCTAGACCTATAAAGGCAAAAGTTTAAAATATAGGGAAGAGCAGAGGGGGGTTAATCTCTCAAGTTCCTGCATGTAGTACACCAGGAGATGTTGTACTAATACAGCTTCTGTGGCAGCTCTCTGTCGTCCACTGCCAGCTGTTTGGGGAGTGACTCCTATACTGCTGAGGCCATTAATACCTCCTAGACCTATAAAGGCAATAGTTTAAAATATAGGGAAGAGCTGAGGGGGGTTAATCTCTCAAGTTCCTGCATGTAGTACACCATGAGATGCTGTACTAATACAGCTTCTGTGGCAGCTCTCTGTCGTCCACTGCCAGCTGTTTGGGGAGTGACTCCTATACTGCCGAGTCCATTAATACCTCCTAGACCTATAAAGGCAATAGTTTAAAATACAGGGAAGAGCTGAGGGGGTTAATCTCTCAAGTTCCTGCATGTAGTACACCATGAGATGCTGTACTAATACAGCTTCTGTGGCAGCTCTCTGTCGTCCACTGCCAGCTGTTTGGGGAGTGACTCCTATACTGCCGAGTCCATTAATACCTCCTAGACCTATAAAGGCAATAGTTTAAAATACAGGGAAGAGCTGAGGGGGTTAATCTCTCAAGTTCCTGCATGTAGTACACCATGAGATGCTGTACTAATACAGCTTCTGTGGCAGCTCTCTGTCGTCCACTGCCAGCTGTTTGGGGAGTGACTCCTATACTGCTGAGTCCATTAATACCTCCTAGACCTATAAAGGCAATAGTTTAAAATATAGGGAAGAGCTTAGGGGGGTTAATCTCTCAAGTTCCTGCATGTAGTATACCATGAGATGTTGTACTAATACAGCTTCTGTGGCAGCTCTCTGTCCTCCACTGCCAGCTGTTTGGGGAGTGACTCCTATACTGCTGAGTCCATTAATACCTCCAAGACCTGTAAAGGCAATTTTTAAATACAGGGTGGGGGGATTAATAAAGCTATATGCTTTTAAGAGAATGTGTATGTAAACATGTAAAATCATGATCTTCTAGTGATTAGTTCTCCCCTTTCTGTATTTGTATGATGTAGCATAAAAAAGTATAAAGAATGTACTTGCAATGAGGTCAATTGAAAAAACAATTAAGAGGGGCTCAATAATTACAGTGGATCATAATATAACACAATCAAGTTTTCTTAAAACTGTAAAAAGGACCTGTTAAAGATGTGTAGTCAAACCTCTCTATTATCATTACTGTGCCATGAGTGGTTTTAATTCTTAAGAACATTGCATGTGTATTGTGCATGTGCATGTGTATATGACTTTGTTGTATAACTGTACGAGATGGTAAAGAAATAACATTTTCATATCTCAGAAATAAGACTATTTCTGAGAAACATTTGATTTTAGGACTTCTGGTGTATGAGCACTATAAAACAGTCAAGTAAATGACACTTGCTGTTTATGTAAATGCATTAACTCATATTCACACATAGCTAGACTAGGTGTGTCCAATTCCAGCCAATCAGAAAACGCTATTTCATGTAACTGCATTCCAATAATGCATTTGTTGTATGGTTGTCAAGGTGAGGAGATCCTTGCAAAGTTTCATTGGAAATATGTTTTTCTTATTGATTTTGTATCTTTTAGGTGATTCTGTAGAAAATATTTTGCAATGTGTGAAAAGAATTTTAAGCCCAAGACTCAATGCATTGTGGCTGCTTCATTCCACTCAAGCTTTGTTTCCTAAACTTTGCATTCCTGTTGCGCAATCATGCAAAGATTTGGAAACTACATCTTCGATGGGATGATTCAGCATACATTACACTGAGTCCAGGGCTTAAATCCTTAATTGGTCAAAACTGTTCCGACTTACATTCAAGTAGATGTAGCTCCATGGGTATTGAGTTAGTGACCATGTTATGTAGAGTTTTTTCCTTGGCCCCTGGGTCTAGCAACCAACTAGCCACCTTAGGGTCATGGAACTGACCTTGTAGCGCAATCCCACATCCTTCACTTAACACCTAGAGATACATAGTCACTTTGTTATTTACATACAATATTTTATATTTACCAATTTGACAATGGAATGGCATTTAACCATTATACCATCATGATAGCTGAGACTAACATAAAACCATAGTTTCATTGCATTTGGAAGTTTTTGATCATGGCATACTGCATGCAAAACATGATTTTTCATTGGAAAATCTAGTATGTAAAAAAGTGTTGTTGAGACATTGACCATGAAATTTGTTGGTGCCATATAACGATGTGTATACTATGTTTGTATCACCATGGTATTTCATTGCAGTTCATGGCCATAGACCATGGTATACCATGGTCTATTTCAAAATGGTAACTTCAACATATTAAAATACAAGTCAAATATAAAACACAGCATAACAAAATGTGATAATAAAAAAAATCAGTGTGATGTATCATTAGAACAATATCAATTTAATGTTTTGAATGAAAGATAAATGAACTTTGCTAAAAATTAAAAAATACATAATCATTTTTATGAGACATTAGCTTTGAAATATAACACCAGGATTGCATACACTATCAATTGTCTCTAAAAGAAGGCGAACAAATACCCTGCGTGCAGAGTCTAGTTAAACTACACTCTGCCTAGTAGAGACGATATTACAGTTTAGTAGCCCCGCCCCCACGACGGGAACGTACCGGTGACAGTTTGGGTAAATCACTTTTGACTGGACCTTCGCGCCAATCAGCGAGCTTGAAGAAACATACGCCAAATGCGTTCTAATTAAATATGCGCATGTAATTGGTCAATTACGGGCTCAACAATGACGTCAGAAGGAATGACCATATAAAGAACGTCGGTCAAATTTGGCCGACGAAAACTGATTGGCGCGGTGAGTTCACAGGTTTATTTTAGTTTAAAAGAGTGAAGACGAAGCTCTCTTTTAAGAAGTGAAGTCAAACGAATGCAAAGGGTAGCGAACAAAAGTTTTCTTTCTGTTGTATAATTTGTACAAATCATAACAATATGTAATCCCTAAAATTAAGCAATTATGTTATTATGTATCATGCAATTATGCAATGTTATTTTAGACCTAATATTAAAAAATTAAGTATAATGTATGCAATTAGTCAATCATGTAGGGAACAATTATACACTTAGAAAATGTAATAGAGGTATCATGAAACATTATATTAAGTAAATGGATAATCATTCATTTACTTTTGTAAATAATGAAGTACATGTATAGCATAATAAATGGAATGGATGTACAGGGTGTCTCAAACATAAAGTTCAAACGTAAAGTTAAGCCTATTAAATCATCAACAATTCAAAATATTCCTAAATATCTTCGGTATAACATGTCATTCAATAATTTCACCGAAAAATGCTCTCATTTCAAAGGTTTTTAATATATTTTCATGAAATTTTCATATATCATTAAAAAAAATCTGGTTATTGATTTCTAAAATATCAGTACCGTAATCGCCGTATTAAGGGCCCACCCCTAATAAGTGCCCACCCCGCTTCGCAGAGCTCAAGAAATATCAAGGAATGATCAAGGAATGACCAAGTATTAACGAATATATCAGGAAAAAATTCAAATTTCCAAAGAAATATACTGGGTGATAATAGAGTACTTACACTTAATAGCAGAAAACGTGACACATTTTGTAATTCGATGCATCCTCCCGATAAATATCTATCAGTGGGTGCTTCCCACATCATACTAAGCTAATATTATCTCAAAAAAGTCCATAATTAATGAAGGAAATGTTCACGTTTAAGAATTTTGTTTCGACATTTTTTCTAAGCGATTGTCAAGGTCGTGAATATAGTGGGCGATAATAGAGTACTTACACTTAATTGCAAAAAACGTGACGCATTTTGTAATTCCGATAAATATCTATCAGTGGGTGCTTCCCACATCATACTAAACTAATATTATCTCAAAATAGTACACAGATTTAAGATTTCTCGACTTTTACACAAAAATGATGATCTGTCATCAAAGTTAATAAGGCATAACTTTAGATCGATATCTGACAATCTATGAGGGAAATAATGAAGATAATTGCGGAAAACAATTCCTTCACCTCGAGGGGCTCTGCTGGGGAGTTCTTCAATCACTGTCAATATTATTTTAGTTAGATTTTATTTTAGCGATCTTTACCGTGTTCTCTCCAAATATGATACATATCATTATTGTAAAAATATCCTGTTACTTTTGTTTTGACGTTGCAAATAATTCATTTTTGGCAAGAAAAATGCCCATACATGAAATTCCTGGGGACTTGACTTCTTTCATATATGGGCACTCTAAGATTACAATGGGAATTTCAATTTCAAAAGCAATTAACGGTGTTTTTTTCAGGGTGTTTTTTGGGCGAATATGGTATCTCTTATTTGATTGGTCAAAAATAACGGCTAATATGGTAACATGACATTTGGTTAGGAGTGGCACTTTACGTCGCACAATTTATTATAACAGAAATCCAGGAATGCTTGAAAATGAAGGCTTATTATATCTTATTTGTTCTCGTTTTATTTCTTTCATAAAACAAATATTAGCGAACCCCACACCATCGTTATTGGAGACTGAGGGCTATTGAAATTGATATTTACTTGTGAGAAAGTCAAAGTAGAGATACATGTAATGCATGATTGTACTTGAAAATGTAGTAGATAGCTAGTTCCATATCTCTTAAACATGTCTGGTGACAAAAAGTTCAATTTTCCTAGATGACATGGTCAATGGGACTTTAACATGTGAAATATTGGGGGGTTCACTAATATTTGTTTTATGGAAGAAATAAAATATATTACCATATTTAAATCTTAAATATTCAAAAGATCAAATTTCAATCTACACTATGTAAAAAATCAAAATTCGAAATAAGCTGATGAACTTCATTCTCCAAACAGAGAATGGTCCTTTTTTACATCTAATTATCCAACAAAGAGCACAACGTTAATGCGGCAGTGATGTGACAAAATGAATACACTGGTTTTCTATAAAATGGGGGACATTGATGAGGATTTGTAAGATGTAAGTAATTAAACCTGATTTTAAGACTAAGTAAGTTTCATATGAAACTTTATACATACCATTCTACTCCAAACAAGATATAAAAGCAATGACACATCTCAAAAAATACAAAGATTTTGGAAAGAAATAGTGCATTTCAATGAATATCTTAGAAGTCTCTGACCCATGTTGGCCAAAACTTTTAATGAAGTACAGATATATATAATACAATAGTTTTCATATTCATTATGTGTACAGCATATAATGATCCTAGAATTTTCATAGATGGTCAATGTTAAAAGTAATGGTATTATCAATTTTTTGAAATGCACTAGTAACGCGCCGGACATAGAACCAGTACGTTGTTAATGTAATCCATAGTAAATCCTGTGGTGATATTACAAACTGACGTACAGAAAATTTTTTAATTCTGATATATACTTTCCAAGATACAATAGAGATAAATCTACTTTTGGGACACCCTGTAATATTCACATTATATTCTCATAAGGAAACCTGACGCAAATTGTAGCACAAATTAACCATGTTTCATAAATTCTGCCTCACAACATAGTTACCATAGTGATATAAGAAACGTTTTATAACTTATGCCCAAGATAACATATAAAATCAGTAATACTTAAAGAAGTCAATTAGTCAACATTCTGCATAGACTGTTTCCGACCATATTGAACAATTCAAAATGATTGTAGTCCATATTTTATTTTTGACTTCAATTTTTGCGATATCTCTAATGAAAACAGAGGAGATTTTTCAAATAACCATGGAAGGAACATCTATAAGAAGTGGCGAAATATGCAGTAATCAACCAAATGAAAACGGTCCAGATGAGGCTCTGCAACAATTCTATGATGAGCAAACCAAAATGCGTTCATGCGAAAACAGATGTAGGATACCAAAAACTACTCACAGTCTTAATGATTTCTATTGCCATTGTGATAATGACTGCATTCACTTTGAAGATTGCTGCGCCGATTTCAATGCACAATGCACACAGAACTTCAGCAGTCTAAATGGCAGTAGTCTAAATGGGGGACAGTTGAAGGGAGGGCGTTCAAGATACACATGCGTAAAGATAAGCAACACAAATATGGTCTACATGACTTCAACTTGCCGCCCTGAATATGTGGGTTCTGTCTTGGAAAGCATGTGCAAAGATGGAGAGAAGGTACTAGATATGGTACCTGTCACAGATCAGGAAACTAATGAGACCTTCAAGAACATTTACTGTGCTAGGTGTAACAATGTGAAAGCTTTCACTCACTGGGAAATAGAACTAGTATGCTCTGACTATGTGATGGGTGAAAATGATTTTCTTAATCCTGGAACAACAACATTGTTGAAGTTACTAAATTCTACACTCTGTGAGCACCACTATATCCCGCCAGTAAGTACAGCTCCCCTTAGATCTTGTTTACCGACTCTGGATACATGTCCCAAAGGAACAAATGAAACTATCGCAAACATGTGTGCGGATTCTGGCTTGTACCCTTTGGTTTATCAAAGTTTGAGTGCATATGTATACAAGAACTTCTACTGCTGGATGTGCTCTACTTCTCCTGTCCTAGATGATACTGGCAAGCTGGTTTTACCTGACTGCAAAATACAAATAATCCAGATCAATTCTGAAGACCAAAGGGGAAAGTTGACTGTGTTTTCATTCAGTGTTCTATTGGATGTGACATCAGAAAATGACCTCCATATGAATACAAAACCAGGAAAGGGAATTAGTGGAATGAACTTTGGCGTAAGTTGTGACACAAATGGGGCCTGCACGACTCTTAATTGCCCAGAAGGCTATGTTTATGTTGAGAAAGAATGTGTACTGGACAGGTTCACTGTGCCAACTTTCTTAAACTGTTTCTGTAAAGACAAAAACACTAAGAACGTTGAAATCAGCATTAAGAACGTTTTTGCACCAATGGGCTACATTTCCAATTTTGATGACGATCTTTCTTTTTTATTCATTTTCAATACACTTTTTCCAAGGAATGTCACACAAGGTATGATACAAGAGGCAATGGATGGGTACACAGCAACACTGATAAGCATCATATCATGTCCCGTTACTGTCACATTTGATTTCTCCATAAAATCTTTACATGATATAGCATCTGACGAAAATTCAGTTAATCATGTTTCATCCCATGGAATTTATAACAAATTTTCCATGGTGCAACTAATTATGACTTACACTGCATTAATGATGGTATAATTGCCATAATAAAGACTTCAAGTGCATTTTGTCTCATAGTGTGACTAATTGAATAATTAATCCACTTAATTCAACAACTGTTATAATGAGTAGAAGTGTACAATATCTCATTACAAATACAGGGTGGGCCAAAAAAAACAATACCCAACTTCAAATCAGGATAAAAATAGTTACATTCAATATGGTACATTGACTTACATATCATTTTAAAGGTTATACAATTTCAAACAATTTGGTATATAACACTATGACATAAAATCAATAGTAAAGTTTTATTATACCTATTTGGGAGGCCGGGTTGCTATTTAAGGTCTCCAGATTAAAGGGAGAAAATAGTGAATCTGCGGAATTATGTTAATTTTTTATTCATTGAATATCATTCTTTTGTTAGGTGAATACATGCTTGGATATTGACATTTGCATCATTGTGTGACTAAATTTATTGTTTATGAATTTCAGTGCTGTTTAATAACATTTTACACTTTATTTATTTAAACAATTTTCACAATTGCTCAATATACCCCACCCCCTCCCCTCTGCATCAACAATAAGCTTCAAGTGGTAGCGCAATCTATCAATAGCCTTATTGAGAGATTTCTGTTGCAATTCATTTCAGCACTTAAGGATTCTGTTTCAGCTCATCAATGCTGTTTATTGGATGCTTTTGATTGTACCATTTCCTCGAGATGGCTCCATGTATGGTAATCAAACACATTACATGTAGCATGGATACTGTTGGGTAGCCAAGCATCGAGATCAATCAAATTGACACCTTGTTTGCAAAGGAATTCCAATGTCTCCTGAGATCTATGGTACGAGGCAATGTCTTGTTGGAAAATAAAATCCTCGTCACATGTACGTTTAATGTATTTTAACAGACCCCCTTTGAGTACTTATTGATAATAAACAACACTGAAATTCATAAGCAATAAGTTTAGTCACACAATATGCAAATATACAAGCATTTATTCACCTAACAAAATGATATTCTAGAAATAAAAAATTAACATTATTCCGCAGATTTACTATTTTCTCCCTAAAATCAAGATACCTTAAATACCGACCCAGCCTCCCAAATAAGCATAATAAAACTTTAATATTGATTTCATGACATAGTGTTATATACCAAATTGTTTGAAAATGGATTACCTTTAAAATGATATATAAATCAATGTATCATATTGAGCATAGCTATTTTCATTCTGATTTAAAGTTGGGTATTGGTTTTTTTGGCCCACCCTGTATATACGAGGGTTGTCCCAGAAGTAATGCACTATATGCTCTAACTTTATCAATAATTGATATGTTTCCATGAAATTTTCAGAAAATGTTCCTTAGAGACATTTTGATTATTTTGAAAAATATCATGTTGACTGATAAAACTATATTGATGTTATAATAAAATCAAGTTGGTGAGTTTGGGTAGGGCGGGGCAGGTTATACATTCACGTCAAAAGGAATAAAAAATTGAAAATATGAAATAATTAATCAACAAATACCATTTTGTGTAGCTATAAGAAGTATGCTCAAAAATACATTTTTGAGATACTAAATTACTATGAGCACATCCTAGATTTAATGGATGTATATTGCACAGTGTCCCATTTCACATTTTCTCAAAATAATGGCCTTTGCATGGTATGTACTTTTGATGCCTGTCAGGTCAAACACTCTTGGCAATTTCTTCCACTGTGACTTGTGGAGTTTTTGCCTCCCATGTTTGGGGTCGTCATCCAGGGTCAAATAGTCTCTTTTAAATCTTTTCTGCCACCCCATAATTGTAGTTCTATCTGGTATATACTCCTTATATACTTTCTTCATGGTAGCATTGTTTTGCGTGGCTGTGAGTCCAAGTGAAGTATGAAATTAGGCCACTAAACGCAAGGCCTTCTGTTATCAGGTAAGAATTGCAGCCATTTTTGCAATTTCTTGACTGAGACTGTATTTGAATTCGTGACTATTGAAATGTGGTATTATGATATCACAGTGCTAAATGTCATTATTTGTACTTGGTTAACATCATGTTGAATAAATTTAACAATTTTCCAAACATTTTGACCATTTAAAGCAATGAAATATTAATAAAATAACATGTTAGATCTTTTCATAATTAGAAAAATTGGTGCCTGCCCCGCCCACCCCTACCCCCATGTTGTTATAGCAACCATATTGAGACTTAATATTAATGTTTGATGCTGAAACTTCAGGATATAATAGATAAAACTTCAATTGTTATATATACAAAATTTCAGCTGAATTGAAGAATATTAAAGAAAGTTAGAGCATATAGTGCATTACTTCTGGGACAACCCTCGTATAATATATAATATCATATTCATTATGTGTACAGCATATAATGATCCTAGAATTTCCATAGATGGTCAATGTTAAAAGTAATGCGTCTATCAATTTTTTGAAATGCACTATTAAAGCGCCGGACATAGAACCAGTGCGTTGTTAATGTAATCCATAGTAAATCCTGTGGTGATATTACAAACTGACGTACAGGAAAAGAATTGTAATTCTGATATATACTTTCCAAGATACAATAGAGATAAATCTACTTTTGGGACACCCTGTAATATTCACATTATATTCTCATAAGGAAACCTGACGCAAATTGTAGCACAAATTAACCATGTTTCATAAATTCTGCCTCACAACATAGTTACCATAGTGATATAAGAAACGTTTTATAACTTATGCCCAAGATAACATATAAAATCAGTAATACTTAAAGAAGTCAATTAGTCAACATTCTGCATAGACTGTTTCCGACCATATTGAACAATTCAAAATGATTGTAGTCCATATTTTATTTTTGACTTCAATTTTTGCGATATCTCTAATGAAAACAGAGGAGATTTTTCAAATAACCATCGAAGGAACATCCATAAGAAGTGGCGAAATATGCAGTAATCAATCAAATGAAAAAGGTCCAGATGAGGCTCTGCAACAATTCTATGATGAGCAAACCAAAATGCGTTCATGCGAAAACAGATGTGGGATACCAAAAACTACACACAGTCTTAATGATTTCTACTGCCATTGTGATGATGACTGCATTCACTTTGAAGATTGCTGCGTAAATCCTGTGGTGATATTACAAACTGATGTACAGGAAAAGAATTGTAATTCTGATATATACTTTCCAAGATACAATAGAGATAAATCTACTTTTGGGACACCCTGTAATATTCACATTATATTCTCATAAGGAAACCTGACGCAAATTGTAGCACAAATTAACCATGTTTCATAAATTCTGCCTCACAACATAGTTACCATAGTGATATAAGAAACGTTTTATAACTTATGCCCAAGATAACATATAAAATCAGTAATACTTAAAGAAGTCAATTAGTCAACATTCTGCAGACTGTTTCCGACCATATTGAACAATTCAAAATGATTGTAGTCCATATTTTATTTTTGACTTCAATTTTTGCGATATCTCTAATGAAAACAGAGGAGATTTTTCAAATAACCATCGAAGGAACATCCATAAGAAGTGGCGAAATATGCAGTAATCAACCAAATGAAAAAGGTCCAGATGAGGCTCTGCAACAATTCTATGATGAGCAAACCAAAATGCGTTCATGCGAAAACAGATGTGGGATACCAAAAACTACACACAGTCTTAATGATTTCTACTGCCATTGTGATGATGACTGCATTCACTTTGAAGATTGCTGCGCCGATTTCAACGCACAATGCACACAGAACTTCAGCAGTCTAAATGGCAGTAGTCTAAATGGGACCGGGTTGAAGGGAGAGCGTTCAAGATACATGTGTGTAAAGATAAGCAACACAAATATGGTCTACATGGCTTCAACTTGCCAACCTGAATACGTAGGTTCTGTCTTGGAAAGCATGTGCAAAGATGGAATGAAGGTACTAGATATGGTACCCGTGACAGATCAGGAAACTAATGAGACCTTCAAGAACATTCACTGTGCTAGGTGTAACAATGTGAAAGCTTTCACTCACTGGGAAATAGAACTAGTATGCTCTGACTACGTGATGGGTGAAAATGATTTTCTTAATCCTGGAACAACAACATTGTTGAAGTTACTAAATTCTACACTCTGTGAGCACCACTATATCCCGCCAGTAAGTACAGCTTCCCTTAGATCTTGTTTACCGACTCTGGATACATGTCCCAAAGGAACAAATGAAACTATCGCAAACATGTGTGCGTATTCTGGCTTGTACCCTTTGGTTAATCATAATATGAGTGCATATGTATACAAGAACTTCTACTGTTGGATGTGCTCTACTTCTCCTGTCCTAGATGATACTGGCAAGCTGGTTTTACCTGACTGCAAAATACAAATAATCCAGATCAATTCTGAAGACCAAAGGGGAAAGTTGACTGTGTTTTCATTCAGTGTTCTATTGGATGTGACATCAGAAAATGACCTCCATATGAATACAAAACCAGGAAAGGGAATTAGTGGAATGAACTTTGGCGTAAGTTGTGACACAAATGGGGCCTGCACGACTCTTAATTGCCCAGAAGGCTATGTTTATGTTGATAAAGAATGTGTACTGGACAGGTTCACTGTGCCAACTTTCTTAAACTGTTTCTGTAAAGACAAAAACACTAAGAACGTTGAAATCAGCATTAAGAACGTTTTTGCACCAATGGGCTACATTTCCAATTTTGATGACGATCTTTCTTTTTTATTCATTTTCAATACACTTTTTCCAAGGAATGTCACACAAGGTATGATACAAGAGGCAATGGATGGGTACACAGCAACACTGATAAGCATCATATCATGTCCCGTTACTGTCACATTTGATTTCTCCATAAAATCTTTACATGATATAGCATCTGACGAAAATTCAGTTAATCATGTTTCATCCCATGGAATTTATAACAAATTTTCCATGGTGCAACTAATTATGACTTACACTGCATTAATGATGGTATAATTGCCATAAAAAAGACTTCAAGTGCATTTTGTCTCATAGTGTGACTAAATGAATAATTAATCCACTTAATTCAACAACTGTTATAATGAGTAGAAGTGTACAATATCTCATTACAAATACAGGATGGGCCAAAAAAAACAATACCCAACTTCAAATCAGGATAAAAATAGTTACATTCAATATGGTACATTGACTTACATATCATTTTAAAGGTTATACAATTTCAAACAATTTGGTATATAACACTATGTCATAAAATCAATAGTAAAGTTTTATTATACCTATTTGGGAGGCCGGGTTGCTATTTAAGGTCTCCAGATTAAAGGGAGAAAATAGTGAATCTGCGGAATTATGTTAATTTTTTATTCATTGAATATCATTCTTTTGTTAGGTGAATACATGCTTGGATATTGACATTTGCATCATTGTGTGACTAAATTTATTGTTTATGAATTTCAGTGCTGTTTAATAACATTTTACACTTTATTTATTTAAACAATTTTCACAATTGCTCAATATACCCCACCCCCTCCCCTCTGCATCAACAATAAGCTTCAAGTGGTAGCGCAATCTATCAATAGCCTTATTGAGAGATTTCTGTTGCAATTCATTTCAGCACTTAAGGATTCTGTTTCAGCTCATCAATGCTGTTTATTGGATGCTTTTGATTGTACCATTTCCTCGAGATGGCTCCATGTATGGTAATCAAGCACATTACATGTAGCATGGATACTGTTGGGTAGCCAAGCATCGAGATCAATCAAATTGACACCTTGTTTGCAACGGAATTCCAATGTCTCCTGAGATCTATGGTACGAGGCAATGTCTTGTTGGAAAATAAAATCCTCGTCACATGTACGTTTAATGTCTTTTAACAGACCCCCTTTGAGTACTTATTGATAATAAACAACACTGAAATTCATAAGCAATAAGTTTAGTCACACAATATGCAAATATACAAGCATGTATTCACCTAACAAAATGATATTCTAGAAATAAAAAATTAACATTATTCCGCAGATTTACTATTTTCTCCCTAAAATCAAGATACCTTAAATACCGACCCAGCCTCCCAAATAAGCATAATAAAACTTTAATATTGATTTCATGACATAGTGTTATATACCAAATTGTTTGAAAATGGATTACCTTTAAAATGATATATAAATCAATGTATCATATTGAGCATAGCTATTTTCATTCCGATTTAAAGTTGGGTATTGGTTTTTTTGGCCCACCCTGTATATATAATATATAATGTCATATTCATTATGTGTACAGCATATAATGATCCTAGAATTTCCATAGATGGTCTATGTTAAAAGTAATGCGTCTATCAATTTTTTGAAATGCACTATTAAAGCGCCGGACATAGAACCAGTGCGTTGTTAATGTAATCCATAGTAAATCCAGTGGTGATATTACAAACTGACGTACAGGAAAAGAATTGTAATTCTGATATATACTTTCCAAGATACAATAGAGATAAATCTACTTTTGGGACACCCTGTAATATTCACATTATATTCTCATAAGGAAACCTGACGCAAATTGTAGCACAAATTAACCATGTTTCATAAATTCTGCCTCATAACATAGTTACCATAGTGATATAAGAAACATTTTATAACTTATGCCCAAGATAACATATAAAATCAGTAATACTTAAAGAAGTCAATTAGTCAACATTCTGCATAGACTGTTTCCGACCATATTGAACAATTCAAAATGATTGTAGTCCATATTTTATTTTTGACTTCAATTTTTGCGATATCTCTAATGAAAACAGAGGAGATTTTTCAAATAACCATCGAAGCAACATCTATAAGAAGTGGCAAAATATGCGGTAATCAACCAAATGAAAAAGGTCCAGATGAGGCTCTGCAACAATTCTATGATGAGCAAACCAAAATGCGTTCATGCAAAAACAGATGTGGGATACCAAAAACTACTCACAGTCTTAATGATTTCTATTGCCAGTGTGATGAAGACTGCATTCACTTTGAAGATTGCTGCGCCGATTTCAACGCACAATGCACACAGAACTTCAGCAGTCTAAATGGCAGTAGTCTAAATGGGGCACAGTTGAAGGGAGAGCGTTCAAGATACACATGCGTAAAGATAAGCAACACAAATATGGTCTACATGGCTTCAACTTGCCGCCCTGAATATGTGGGTTCTGTCTTGGAAAGCATGTGCAAAGATGGAGAGAAGGTACTAGATATGGTACCTGTCACAGATCAGGAAACTAATGAGACCTTCAAGAACATTCACTGTGCTAGGTGTAACAATGTGAAAGCTTTCACTCACTGGGAAATAGAACTAGTATGCTCTGACTATGTGATGGGTGAAAATGATTTTCTTAATCCTGGAACAACAACATTGTTGAAGTTACTAAATTCTACACTCTGTGAGCACCACTATATCCCGCCAGTAAGTACAGCTTCCCTTAGATCTTGTTTACCGACTCTGGATACATGTCCCAAAGGAACAAATGAAACTATCGCAAACATGTGTGCGTATTCTGGCTTGTACCCTTTGGTTTATCAAAGTTTGAGTGCATATGTATACAAGAACTTCTACTGTTGGATGTGCTCTACTTCTCCTGTCCTAGATGATACTGGCAAGCTGGTTTTACCTTACTGCAAAATACAAATAATCCAGATCAATTCTGAAGACCAAAGGGGAAAGTTGACTGTGTTTTCATTCAGTGTTCTATTGGATGTGACATCAGAAAATGACCTCCATATGAATACAAAACCAGGAAAGGGAATTAGTGGAATGAACTTTGGCGTAAGTTGTGACACAAATGGGGCCTGCACGACTCTTAATTGCCCAGAAGGCTATGTTTATGTTGAGAAAGAATGTGTACTGGACAGGTTCATTGTGCCAACAGTCTTAAACTGTTTCTGTAAAGTAGAAAACACTAAGAACATTGAAATCAGCATTAAGAAAGTTTTTGCACCAATGGGCTACATTTCCAGTTTTGAAAACGATCTTTCTTTTAAATTCATTTTCAATACACTTTTTCCAAGGAATTTCACACAAGGTATGATACAGGAGGCAATGGATGGGTACACGGCAACACTCATAAGCATCATATCATTTCCTGTTACTGTCACATTTGATTTCTCCATAAAATCTTTACATGATATAGCTTCTGACGAAAATTCAGTTAATCATGTTTCATCCCATGGAAATTATAATAAATTTTCCATGGTGCAACTAATTATGACATACACTGCATTAATGATGGTATAATTGCAATAATAAAGACTTCAAGTGCATTTTGTCTAACGGTGCAACTAATTGAATAATTAATCCACTACTGTTATAATAAGTGGAAGTGTACAATACTATCTCATTACAAATACATGTTACATGTTTGTTATCTAGGCCCGTTGCCAGGGGAGTCAAAATCATGTGACACATTAATCCGACAGAAATTTCTGCAATTAAACATGCTTCATGCCATTGAAATAACAACAAAACAACAACAAAATTCTTTCAAAATCATGCAGTTTTTTCACCATTTAGGACACTTTTCAAGTAGTTTTGGGACAAAATTGTCAAATTTGAGCCCCCCCCCGGGAAATGTTTATAAACTGAACCCTCTCTTGTCGAAAGCTGGCTACAGGCTCGTCATAAACATGTCATGTAACAATGCTCCTGAGAAAGTTTGTACTTCACAATATCTCATCTTACCTGTACATGTATGTGTTTTACTAGAAATCATCGAATAGCATTACAATGCTTGATGAGACCAAGATTAATTCAAATTACATGGATTTTAGACAATGATTTGAGTACATTTTATCAATGATTGATATGTCTTATGTAGTGTTGATTTTAATAATTTCAATATTGTATTTAACGTTATGTACTATATTTTGGAAGTGCCCGTTGAGATTGTATAAAGTTTAGATTCTAAAATAAAAATAAACATTGGGCATGTACTGTATTTTTCAAAGGAAACTTTTAATTAAGACATTAACGATTGTTACAGATCCTATCAGAGTATAATATCATGGATGCTGTGTCTAATTGCATCACTGTCAGACAACACTGCTAGAAATCATGTCTTAAAATTGAGACCATAATTATTTTTTTTAAAAATATTAGCAAAATCTCTCCGCTACTTTTCCAGTTATAGTAAAAAATAAAAGAAGACATACAGAGCTGCCATTTTTTAGAAATGTCTGCCTATTTACCCTAATTGTCATTAAACAGAGTAATATGCTATGCTTCCATGTATTTACACACATTTATACAAAATTTCAACGAAATTGCTCCACTGCTTTTCCAGTTATAGCACCAAACATAAAATAATCACACAAAAATGGTCAACATTTTTCAAATGTCACATATTAGTCTATATGGACATATGTCTGAACGAATGGAAACTTTCTCTATATCCCCCATGCTTTGTTCGATGGGATAACTAATCTTTTTTAATCAATTTCAAAATCTCTTCTTAATCAATATCAAAATCTTTTCTTAATCAATATCAAAATCTTTTCATATTTTATTGAATGTCCTTTCCTATAAATATGATTACTAAGACATACCCTGTACTGCTCTTTCACAGCAAATGCAGCTTTGATTGTCTTAATCTCCAAAACACTTTTGAGGGCTTGAAGTCTTTTTGCTACTGAGAGTCTGCCATCTATTGGTGGTGGTGCAAGACTTTCATCCAGATCACCTGGAATACAGAACCTAGTTCAGAATTTCAGTCTCACTTGTGAGTTTACATAAAACATGCTATTTTGCTAGTTTTTTTTCAAAAAATAATGTATTATGTTTGCATAGAAATACAAGGCATAAACATGCAAAATGTCACCACCTGCCATTTGTTATATGTCGTCCATTTCCAATGTTAGGTTTTCGGATGAATCACATTACCTTCTTTCTGAACATGTAAACTCAAGAGATAATGTGTTCTGGGATCGCAAATTCCAGATGAAGTGCTTCAAAGGCCCCTTCATTCTGTTAAATGCACAGCTTGGGCTGCCAATTTCCAAACATGAAATCATCAGCCCCTTTTGGTTTGAGGTTGATAATGGCAACACTGTTACTGTTAACACACAGCGCAATATTGGTGTTCCCAGGAAATTCTAGGCAGTTCTAGAGTGACATAGAGGCTTCAATAGACAAGAACAGTGGTTCTAGAAGGATGGAGCTACTCCTCACACTTTAAATGATAGCATAGCCTGGCTCACTTGTGATTTCTATGAGAAGATTATCTCATCTAGGACGGAGAACCCATGGTCATCCCACAGTCTTGATCTCAATGCCCCTGATTTCAATATATGGGGTTACTTAAAGATTCTCGCAATCTTTATTCAATCAGCGTTTGCGATGTGTACCGGCTCACGTATAAAAGGCGAATCCAACTCAAATCCATGCAGGGGTGTATGAGGTACTCGAATAGGAAAGAGGTCGTGAAATCTGAATTTATATGCACATGGTCAATGTTTACACATGTTTGGAGTTATTGAAGAAAATGTGATATGGGGGTGGTTCCGAATTTGAAGTCATTGCTGGAAAATATGATTTTAATACGTGAAATTATATCTATAAATACAGCACTAAAAATAACAGTACACATGAAGTACATGTATGATTGTGTCCAGAAATGTTTGAAACCCTTACGGAAAATTCGGTCTGCATTTTGTCACCATTGCTCTTTCTTCCTGCATTCTAGTGCTGTTTGAATGAATATATTTATTACTGTATTTCCAACTAAAATATATCACATTTTTTTATAAACCACAAACATTTAGATCATAAAAGAAATTATTCAATACTTGAGTGAGCACGATATGCAAGGGTTACTAAGTTGACACAGTAAATGACCACTGACATTGTGTTAGTCCATGCACACAGCGTATTCTGCTAATACACATTTGCCTTGAACACCCCTAACTTTCATAGTGAAGTGATCGTCTGACTAATTGGATTATGTTTACGTTTTAATGTGTTTTGTGTTCCTTGTTACAGCAAGGGGGGCCAGTAAAGTAGACTAACATGTTTGCATGGCAAATTTTGATCGAATATGTGAGACACTTTAAAGAATAATGTGTATGAAAATAACCCTACCGCAATTGCAGAACTCCAACAAGCAATGGCTGCAAAATTTGAGCCATACCAAGTTTGTTTTCAGTGAAATTGACGACATCTGGAGTATATTTTGAAACAACCATAACTCTATCAATATAAGGCTATGATTATTAAAACTTTGCAAGAGGATCCCACATTGAATGAAGTCCTTGTGTGCCAAATCTCAGAGCAATTTACCTCCATTTAAGAAAAACATTGAAGAAATGGAGGGTTGCATTTTTTTGGGTCACCCTGTAAAAAACAATTCAGCTGACAGACAGATGGAGATGCATAGAGGGAATTGTCTGATTTCTTTGCAAGGAAATTTGACATAAACCTCAATGGAAGTGATAAGGTGATTTAAGTTTAATCAGCCTATTTCACGTCATTGTAAGTGAAAATTGACAGAAAACGACAATAAATGACATTTTAATTTGTGAGTGTACGTATTCAATCAAACCTGCCAATTAACAAGCACTCTTCTAATTAATGTTTTATCTGCAAATTGTCCAATTATATAGTATTGCAGGATATCATTTATTATTTACACTTGACGTACATGTCTCATGATTATATTCCATGTAATTGATTAAAAGCATTGATGTAATTTTTATCTATTTGAATAAAATTTTTGATATAAGACCTAACAGCTTAAAGCAGATATGAAATGGTATTTTTAACCTAAAGGAATCAATATAATTTTTTGATAGATGTATTTGGACATGTTTTCTAATCAGTAGTGTGAAAACTATTTCACTCCAACGATCGTTATAGCTGCTTAATAAGCAATATTCGAATTGGTTGTGACGTTTTTGGCCCCCACGTGATCTCTCACTGGCCCCCACGTGGACCGTTTTGGTCCATTAGATCATGACGTTATAATGCCAAAATGTTTTGTTATTTGTTTACACAACAATCCTATGGTTGCCGTGACGTTGTGATTACTATGGAACCAATAAACCAAAGCTATAATGTATATGACGTTACTAATCACGTGGGGGCCAATTTGATTTATCAGTTAGTTTTATTTCAATATCTATGACCGTTAGCAGTTATCTAACATTTATTTTATAATGGCTATCGCAAGAACTCTACGGTGGGCTCACAATAGAGAAAACCGCATTTTTGTAGCTACAAGTTGAGAAAAGCTATTTCAGTTGTCCTTTAAGATGAAGTTTTATTGCTCTGTCTTGCCACAATCGGTAACATTTCATGATTTTGCATGTTGGGAATGTATTTTTCTTTCTGACATTTTTCACTTTTCGGTCAGTACTGAGTGAAGTGGGTGTGTAGACAGTTCGAGAGTGGCGCAAACTTTGAGGTGGGAGCATGGTGTGTACAGTTTTCAGTTGAAGTGGGCACTGCACCATAAAGATGCTTGGGAGATCATAGCTCTGTGAATGCTACATAATAGGCATCTCTAACCCCCTTCTTGAAAGCCCATGATCGAAAGCATGTATTCAACTATAATCAAAGTTCTACTCACAATTGTATGTTATTCTCTGTGAGTGCTATATGATAGGTATCTCTAGCCCCCCCCCCTTTAAATCCCTGATGATTAAGAGCATGTCTTTAAATATAATCAAAGTTCTACTCACAATTGTATGTTATTCTCTGTGAGTGCTATATGATAGGTATCTCTAGCCCGCCCCCCCCCCCCCTTTAAATCCCTGATGATTAAGAGCATGATGATTAAATATAATCAAAGTTCTACTCACAATGTATGTTATTCTCTGTGAGTGCTATATAATAGGCATCTCTTGCCCCCCCCCCCTCCCTTTAAAATCCCTGATGATTAAAAGTATGTATTCAACTATAATCAAAGTTCTACTCACAATGTATGTTATTCTCTGTGAGTGCTATATAATAGGCATCTCTTGCCCCCCCTCCCTTTAAAATCCCTGATGATTAAAAGTATGTATTCAACTATAATCAAAGTTCTACTCACAATGTATGTTATTCTCTGTGAGTGCTATATAATAGGCATCTCTAGCCCCCCCCCTCCCTTTAAAATCCCTGATGATTAAAAGTATGTATTCAACTATAATCAAAGTGCTACTCACAATGTATGTTATTCTCTGTGAGTGCTATATAATAGGCATCTCTAGCCTCCCAACTAACAGCTATCCCAACTATCACACAATTAGATGTGTCTACTGTAAATCCATCTACTTTTTCTTCTACTGGAGTAATACTTTTTCCTGAAATAAATTATTTAATGTGAAATAGGATAGCATAATTCAGAGTAATACAAAATGAAAAATAGGGTTAGGGTTTACATTTAGGGGATATGTAGGGTAAGATACTGAATTAGGGATTGGATAGGGTAGGTACTGAGTTAGACATTGGGTAGGGTAAGAAACACAGATTATGGCGGTTATTTGTCTTTAGATTTTAAATGGGTTCATTGGTCATAAGATAAAACAAACATTATACCTTTATTAAAGTTTCCTCCGATTCCACCTCCAGGGGGCAGCACTGTAGGTTTCTGCTCACAGGCCACACTGATGGCGTAACTCTCCTTGCAGGCCCATTCCTGGATAAATGTCTCAAATAACATCTCATTGGCAGCCACATCTATGATTGTAAATGAACCCTGTGTGGCAGGTAACATTTGTGAAAGCTGTGAAGCCTGTGTTGAATGTGGTAATTCTATCTCAGTTGATTTTGAGGGTTTTATTTGGGAGAGAGCTGATTTGGAGCTAGTCATTTTTGAAGTGCTTGCAGGTTGACTCTTAATCATGTCTCTTTGTTTTCCAATCATGGCTTCATCACTGCCAATCTTTCTGTTGCTTTCTTTGTGGTTCAGTTTTTTCATTGGATTTTTTGGGCTCATGAATGATGCCTTGAGTGACTTCTGCGTCTTTGCATTGAAAGGGCTGTTAAACTTTGGAGGAGTTGGAGGCATGAAACTACTACTCTCATCTGATTTATCTGATGTTGAACTTGTATTACCAAGATTGGCAGGAACTTTAGCTTGTTTAGGTGGAGTAGGGCCTTTGATATGTTCGACACTTTTCCTTTTCTGCTTAGACTGTATTTTGGTTGATCTTGGATTGTTTTCTTTTACCGCAGGCATTGAGTCTTTTTCAATATCTAGAATGTTTTCAATCATTGAGAAAGTCAGGGAATCATCAAGTGATCTTTTATTGGAATGTTCTTTGTGATTTTGGTCAGTTGGAGTACTTGTAGCAATATTGGGCTGACCTTTGGGCTTTGGTGTTGGAATTGGGCTATTGAAGGAATCGCTCATGTTCATTGCTATTGCTAAATCTTCTTGTAGTTTGTCATATGAAATATTTGAGTTACGCAAGCGAAGCTTTGGTGAACATAGTTCTCCCATATCCATCTGCTTTGGCAGATTATTGATTGTGCTAATTTTGTTCTCAAATGGGAGAACATTCCCATGGTTGACAAGATCAGAATGATTCAATTGAGCATCCTCCTGATATTCAACTCTTTCAAAGTCACTCCCAGGTAAAAGGTCACATGACCCTGACAGCAGGGATTGATCATTTTGTGGGTGAATATTTGTTGATTTAGGTATATGGGCTAACATTGGGGATGCACTCTCAGCAACATGGTCCACCCTTTGTGTGCAGTAATCATCCATAAAGTTCTGAATATCTGAGTCCATTGTGTCAAAGTCATCAACTTCAGCATCTTTTTTAAGCTCAAAGTCAGGGCGGGAAATAGATTCATCTTCTTGAGAAAACATGGTAGGAGTGACCTGCTTGTTTGGAAATTTCATTGTATTGCACTGTATATTATTTGAAGCATTTGTATTTTCACTAGATTTTGGTGCCACATGACCTTGTTCAGTAAACATATCTGGTGATCCTTTGGGTGAACCATTTTCCATATATTTCCCTCTAGTTTCTATTTTGGCACCTGCACATTCTCTCTGATCAGTCCCTGGTTGTTCTTGATGTTGACTGTCTATTTTGTTTTCAATGATTTCTCTCATGGCTTGAGTATCAATACAAAGACTGTCTCCAAATTCATCCTGTTCTGTGTACATATCTGGAGATCCAGGTTCAGGGCCATGATCCTTTACTACTAGCTCTGGATTGTGTGTAGAGCCATGAATATCAGCCTCGGTTATAATCTTATTGCTCTGTTTTAAACTTTGGTCCAGTCTGGATGCTAAAGGACTCGATTTATTTTCATTTTCTTTTTCTACATGTTCCTTTACACCAAGTTTTCTCAATACATCACGTCTCTTATCACTACACTCATCACCAACAGCCTTAACATTGTCTTTCACTACTCCATCTCTCTTCAGTAGCCTGTTGTCAGTTTTTAAAACTACACTAGAAGATTTAATACTTTTATTCATTGACTTTGTACTGGGTCTTGTCCCAAGTGGACTGATTAGAATTTTGACTGGAGAAGGGGAGCTAGTATGATCAGAACCCCGCCTGATTGATCTATTAGAGGTGGATTTCCTTGAAGAACTCAAAGTGGATTCAGCATTGAGGATGCTATTTGGTTTATTATAATTCCCAGGTGTTGCGATGGATGATCTGCCAGGTGTTTTCTTTGATGTTGAGCAATTAGCAGATATGTTGTGTTTTGATGCATTAAGTGATGATCTCCTGGTCAAACTAGATCTTCTACCATGTGATGATATATTACCCTGGAAATAAGAAAATTGACTGAGTATGTTATTTTATTTAGGCTGATCTTGTTGTCAGTAAGAGAACAAATATTCCCTGGGAAAATCTAGAGCAAATTTATGTTTTAACATCTTGCATAATGTTGTCCATAAAGATGAATTTCTTACACCATGAAAGTCATAATTTTAGGCTAACATCAATTTAATTTTTTTTGTAGTTTCTGAGAGGTAGTACACTAGGCTATGGCAGATACATTATCATGCTTGTATTCTCTGAAAATGATTTGTCATCTTTTTAAAGTATGATAACCTATATCTGATCTCAGTCGTTGGAATTCTAATATTGTTCTTGTTGTTAAATATTGGTTAGCCCTATTAAATCACAACACAAGAATGCATGTTAGTGGTTCAGTCTGGATTGTTCTTGTTGTTAAATATTGGTTAGCCCTATTAAATCACAACACAAGAATGCATGTTAGTGGTTCAGTCTGGATTGTTCTTGTTGTTAAATATTGGTTAGCCCTATTAAATCACAACACAAGAATGCATGTTAGTGGTTCAGTCTGGATTGTTCTTGTTGTTAAATATTGGTTAGCCCTATTAAATCACAACACAAGAATGCATGTTAGTGGTTCAGTCTGGATTGTTCTTGTTGTTAAATATTGGTTAGCCCTATTAAATCACAACACAAGAATGCATGTTAGTGGTTCAGTCTGGATTGTTCTTGTTGTTAAATATTGGTTAGCCCTATTAAATCACAACACAAGAATGCATGTTATACCCCATCAGGGTGTTATCATTCAATTACCAAATACACACCTCAGATTTCTCAGAATTTGCATTTGGGTTCCATTGAACCCCAAGTTGCTGCAGGTCCTCTTGTAGAAGTTTTGTTGCTTCTTCCTTAATCATAACAGCTGCTTCATGCTCTGTCAGTCCTTTCTGCCCAGTGAGCCATATACACCTAGCTTTGTTTCTCTCTCTAACATCCCAGTCAGTCTCATTGTCAGCTTTCTTCTTACTAAAACACAACACCTCAAGTATACAGGGTGACCAAAAACAGGTCACAGGGTGACTGAAACACACCTCACATATACAGGATGAACAAAAAATACAGCACATATACAGAGTGAATAAAACCACATCTCATAGTTCCAGAATATCCAAAAACAGCCATTTTTCAGGTACAAAAACTAAAATCTATTGATGTTAATATGATATTTATTCTTTGCTATTCATCATGCCATGGACAATGTATACCTATGGAGTGTTTATTTGAATAATATAATTCAACTTCATTAACAGAAAAATAAGAGTTCTCCCAAATAACAAAAATTTTAAAATGTTAATTTGCCAATTTCAATTTATCAAAAGATCGTTCAATAATAAACCTGTCAATTGACCGCTCTCCATAATTAATGAAATCAATTTCATTCCTTCACAACAATTTCTGTTAGACAACATCCCTAACTCACCTTTGGAAAGGTACAGAGTTCCGTAACAAATGCTCAATGTCATTATCATCAGCATTAGCTAGGGCTGCTATAGTCTCATATCCCCCATTGTACAAAACGCGAGCCCTCTGACCATTCAGGAGTGAGATACGCACGAGGTCACATAACTCACGCTGTACCCCAAATGTGAGACGGTTCTGGAACTGTGACAGCAGGATTTCCAAGTTGTTCCAGCCTAATCTGTTACAGAACACAGTCACCATACCTGCAGAAATACATGGAAGTTATGGTATGATAGTTAAGTATACAGAGCCTATTGGGAAAGACAGACTGCTTATAGCATGTCCTATTCCTGACTCTGAAGAAGTGGCTTTGTCTGATCTACTCCCATCGAACATTTCCACAGACTCTGCTCAAAATTTACCATTTACATAAAATATTTATTTATGAAAAAGAGATCCTTCAATTGGTATATAACATGGACCATTGCTCAAGATGTTAGAAAATGTTTATCATGAATATGTAAGTAACAAAAGGGAAAGACCAAAAAGTCCTAAAAATTCAAAATAATGAACTAACATAAAGAACCATTAAGCATTAATGATTCATAAGCACATACCTGCAAATGTGGCTGCACTCTGCTGTAAAGACTGTAGCATTCCTCTATTACATTTGTACTTCTGGGCCACCTTCATTATAGGCACCTCATTAATTAAATCATGTACTAATAATTCATAAGCACATACCTGCAAATGTGGCTGCACTCTGCTGTAAAGACTGTAGTTTTCCTCTATTACACTTGTACTTCTGGGCCACCTTCATTATAGGCACCTCATTAATTAAATCATGTACTAATAATTCATAAGCACATACCTGCAAATGTGGCTGCACTCTGCTGTAAAGACTGTAGCATTCCTCTATTACACTTGTACTTCTGGGCCACCTTCATTATAGGCACCTCATTAATTAAATCATGTACTAATAATTCATAAGCACATACCTGCAAATGTGGCTGCACTCTGCTGTAAAGACTGTAGCATTCCTCTATTACACTTGTACTTCTGGGCCACCTTCATTATAGGCACCTCATTAATTAAATCATGTACTAATAATTCATAAGCACATACCTGCAAATGTGGCTGCACTCTGCTGTAAAGACTGTAGCATTCCTCTATTACACTTGTACTTCTGGGCCACCTTCATTATAGGCACCTCATTAATTAAATCATGTACTAATAATTCATAAGCACATACCTGCAAATGTGGCTGCACTCTGCTGTAAAGACTGTAGCATTCCTCTATTACACTTGTACTTCTGGGCCACCTTCATTATAGGCACCTCATTAATTAAATCATGTAACACAAGGGCTGTATAGAATCTTAGGTGGATACCAAGGGCTCTCTCCTGTAACAGAAAATATCATTATTTTGACAAAAATCAAATGAAACATTTTCCCAAGGTTTCATCTGACTCCAGTCTGTGCCTTTCTATTGCAACACAGTGGTGTAAAGATGGTGTAGAGATTGCTCTGAAGTCAGAGGAGGACAGATATCAAAGATAAGTTTAAGGGAAAAAGGATGCTCTATCCAAATGTCTGTAATGTGACATGCATGTATGTTTTGTTGAGATCTTTCACTGTACCTGAGCTGGTGTTTTAGTGTTGATACGTCCCCTTATGGCTCTAGATAGGAAGCTTTCAGTGACCCCCACTAACTGTGCAACACATTGCTGTCCAGGGGTGAGTTCCTCCCAGAGTGTTAAATAGCTGTACCAGTCCAGTCCTGACCACATGCTCTGTACATAGATGGGTGTCACCTAGGATGAAGAACAAGCTTGATGAACATAATATATCATAATGAATTCAATCTTTTGACTAAATTTCTACAAATCTAAATCAACCAACGCAATAGTTTTACTAACTTAAGGGGGGTAGGGTAAACAACTTTTTATCTTAGTTCCTCTTTAATCAATAAAAATTAAAATTAATATCTGATTTCTTTCATTAGAGTCTCAAAGAAATAGTTCAAAAATCAAAATCAGAGACCCAATGGAAAATCACATAACTATCACTGAATGCCAATATGTTAAACCTGCACATTGCTCCAAAACGCAATATGTTGACATATATTGTTTTTACATTTTCAAACTCTTATATAAAGTTTATGTAAATAAAAATTGTTTTTTTTCTGCGTAATATCAAAGAACAATCATTTAGTTAAAAAAATAAAAAGGCGAATGCGGGATTCGAACCCGGACCTCCCGCGTGCTCGGCGAGGATTCTACCGCTACAACACCGTATTATTATGAATAGTGGAAGTAAGTGGAAGTAAAAACGCTACTTATTTTGAATGCTATGATTCGGAAGTGACATCACGTTCTTCATTTAGAAACCTTTCCAAAATCATATCGCCGGCTCCGATCGAAGCAAATTCAATGAAAAATCTTTGAAATGACACATTTATTGTAAGTATTTCTACACAAGATTTGCCCCATTTGTTCATCATTCTATAATCTTTCATTAAGCTCAAAATGATAAAGTTCACCCCTGAAACAACCCAAGATTGCGTTTCGGAGCGTAGTCCAGCTTTAAATTGGGCAATCATGTTATCAGCCTTATTCAGGAATTCTGTCATAGTGTGAGTATCTGCTTTACCTGGTAGAGTATATGCAGGTCATTCTCCAATACAAAGCACTTTCTAGCCCTTTGGAGTTCAGAGAACACAACCAGACCTTCATCTGGAGAGAGTGCCGACGCCAGCACAGCTGCTCCTAGCTGGGTTGGGTAGAATTTCTCTGTTTTGGACTCAGTGCCTGATGATAATGGAAATAAGAGTGTCAGAGCTTTAGAGAAGCAGATCACTATATTTCAAATATACTCCATCCGTTGGTATAAATTGGAAAAAATAAAAAATAATATCAATAAAATGAACTAGGGTGAAAAAGCAATTTGAAATATACATATTATTGTACTTTTTCATAATACATTCCAATAATTGAAAGATGGCTGATTCAATTTAATTTATTGTGGATACATGCTTCATCAATAAATCATAGCTAGGTTAAAAACTAATTATGTAATGAACACTTAAAACTTTTTATCATCTTACTATCATCATTCTCATTCTGTGATTGGTTAAACAAGTAATTAAACATAAAATATCCTGTGATATGTGATGCTTACTGAGGTTTCTATTCATTTTCATTGGTAGATAAATGAATTCTGTACTTGTATCACTTCAGGCCTTTGATGTAACTAATATTGCTTACGAAAGGTGCATAGGTATTCCCACCAATTGAACAAAATGTTTGTATCATACACCTGAATGTTCCTGCGTTTGAAAAAAGTATAAATATCAGGAGGTCTTTGTAAAGTTAAGAATTCCTAAATCAAGTGTTGTAACCATGGATATAATGCTGTCTTAAGTAAGAGTACAATGGACTTTAGGAATCCCTAACTTTACGAAGTTTTTTCAATTGCCCCCCGCTTACTAGCATTGTTGACTGCTTTTAGGTTGACAAATTCATTTTCCTTTAAGAACTGAATGCAGGCATCAATGCTGTGAAAGGCATGTCCTTTTTCCTCCTCTTGTAGTGAGGCTGATAACATGGTACATCTTGCATATGTAGTCACTTCTTCTGGTGAACTGGCAACCCCACTCACTACCACCTTTAATAAGATATTAAAATGTGAAAGGCATGTCCCTTTCCTCCTCTTGTAGTGAGGCTGATAACATAATACATCTTGCATAGGTAGTCACTTCTTCTGGTGAACTGGCAACCCCACTCACTACCACCTTTAATAAGATATTAAAATGTGAAAGGCATGTCCCTTTCCTCCTCTTGTAGTGAGGCTGATAACATAATACATCTTGCATAGGTAGTCACTTCTTCTGGTGAACTGGCAACCCCACTCACTACCACCTTTAATAAGATATTAAAATGTGAAAGGCATGTCCCTTTCCTCCTCTTGTAGTGAGGCTGATAACATAATACATCTTGCATAGGTAGTCACTTCTTCTGGTGAACTGGCAACCCCACTCACTACCACCTTTAATAAGATATTAAAATGTGAAAGGCATGTCCTATTTCCTCCTCTTGTAGTGAGGCTGATAACATGGTACATCTTGCATAGGTAGTCACTTCTTCTGGTGAACTGGCAACCCCACTCACTACCACCTTTAATAAGATATTAAAATGTGAAAGGCATGTCCTTTTCCTCCTCTTGTAGTGAAGCTGATAACATAATACATCTTGCATATGTAGTCACTTCTTCTGGTGAACTGGCAACCCCACTCACTACCACCTTTAATAAGATATTAAAATGTGAAAGGCATGTCCTATTTCCTCCTCTTGTAGTGAGGCTGATAACATGGTACATCTTGCATAGGTAGTCACTTCTTCTGGTGAACTTGCAACCCCACTCACTACCACCTTAATAAGATTAAGATAAGAAATTTTTAATTTTTCTATTTAATTACAATTACTGTATTTTATGGTGATCCTTTGTTTTATTACAAACTACAGGGTGTTTCATAATGACCATCCCCATCAACCACCAATGTGTTTGACATTACAACAATTTCAATCATTTTAACTGTTTCCATCCCTCACCATTTTTAGACAACAAACCCCAAAATAGCTGCTTTTGTCCTTATTGTTTTAAATGCTTTATGTATCACATAATACACATACCTCTAGTATGGCTCTTTTCATTGAGGAACTTAAAGCTTCTTGTTCCCTTTTAAGACAACTCTGTACAGGTTTCAATGCAGATGTCACTAGACTAACAGCTTTGTTCTTTTCAGTTGTCTTACATACCAGTATACTTTCTCCTATAATACAAGGGTAATGCAAGATTATTGCTTGTAATGTGAACTCAGATTTACTTTTCAATACCTCAAACAATTAAAATGAATTCTTATGTTCAATCTCTATCAATATTTCTGCATATGATTTTATGATTAAGAGATATATTGTACTGTTTAAAACATGTGAAAGCATTAGGAGAAAAGAAAAATTCATTTTTGCTCTGTGTCAACCATTCATTCAAAAATAATTTAAAAACACTTGGTGAAAAGTGTGCAAGAGCCATTACTGATCTCTAAACTTCTATTATGCAAGTTTTTTTCTTGCTTCAGTATTTTCAAAGAAGCTTTTTGTCATATTTAAATGATTGTGCGAAAATCATGTTTCCACGATTTTTTTCTTTTTTCTTTATTAACCCTAGTGGCTGTTTATAAACATTAAAGATAATATGTACAGTGTATCCCTTGATTGATATATTTGCACTCACATATACATCATATTAATTTCAATGTCTCCCATAAATACAGAAAATATTGATCTTTAAGATTGATCATATACCTTGCGTATCAACTCCCTTGCGACCAGCTCTCCCAACCATTTGTTTATATGCCAAGATATCAAGGATCTGGCCAGCGTGAAATGTTGGTGTACGAATCACAACTCTCCTTGCAGGCAGATTCACTCCTGATGATAGGGTGGATGTAGCAACCAAGACACGTAGGTTTCCTTGTCTGAAAGCGCCCTCTATTATGTCTCGTTCATCAAATGTTAATCCTACAATGACACAAGTTGATCTGCATACATAATATATTTAAACAATTAGTTAATTTATTATTTCAGATTTAATTTCATTGGATATTTCATTTGATACTTTGATATCAAGAAGAAGAAAAAATGAGAGAATAAGGGTCAATTATCTAGATTTATGAGAAGTTGTTTAACAAGCAATGAAAATAAAAATAACTATTATGATTGAGTGCTTTCATAATTTGTTTATTGTTAAGTTAAACACTATATTTCAATATGAGAGAAAAATGTAAATAATCATGAGTATCATCTTCTTCATGATTCAACAATTGTCCGCTTCACATGTATCTTTCAACAACTAACAAGGAAACCTGATGTTTTAGAGAGAGATTCTGGGGCAAGGCCCCGAGGTGGGGAATATTTTACCAGATTTATTGCTTCCAGGGATGGGAAATTGACTCATTTATTGGCTCCAGAGTAAGGAATTTGACAGGCCTAAATTATTTTGTCAAATTCCCCATCCATGCCTGCATGGGTGGGGCATCTCACACAAATGGTGCATAAGGGTTGAGATCAAGGTCAATAGACAGACAAATTATCTAAAAGGCCAAAGCCAAGTTTAATTATATTGAGCTCACAGCTATAACCTGTTTATAAGATCAATGATTAAGCTATATTTTTACTTTATGTTTGATTTATTGATCAAGTGGTAGTAACTTGTTTACTAATTGTCAATTTATGCTTACTTGAATTTATCTGGCCAGTTCTATTGTTTAATGAATTTATTATAAAGACTTGCAATCATTCGGACTTCCATGGTTGGATATATTTCATATCCTATATATTGTATATTCATTGTCAAAACAGCTTCCAGCAGATTGTAATTCTATTTTAGACAACAATTATGCCGGAGTATTATACTTGCCTCAAACTACACGTTAATGGGTTTTTGTATGTGGAATGTTATGATCGATAATAAAAATGTTCTTCATAACACCCCCCTGCTTTCTAAAAACTCTATGCTTTGATGTTACTCTCCAAATAAGACATTCTAAGAAAGTACAGTGTGGCCCACAAAATATAAGAACATTTTCCCCTTGACTTTAACTTTCTTACTATTGAGGCTGCCTGAGGAAGGTTGTATTTTATATATTTTATGTACCTAGAGCCCCAAATGCATATTAAATGAATAAGGCAATAGATATAAACATGCAATATCTTATTCTGAATCATTTTAATCTTCCACTCTGTATTTCATTTAAGTTAATCTGACAAGGTCTGGTAGATTAATTACCTAACCTTAAACTTTAAAAGGTGTCATGACATGTGATTATATCATACTGTCAAGTAATGCATAACAATAGATAAGTTATGACTCGGAAATTCAATATGCTACAAACAAAAGGTACAGTTACTTAATCTATGTTTATTCTATTATTTTTCAAGTAAAAAAATCTATTTTCTATTTTCTAAATACTGATTTAGATTGGTCAATGAGTGGTCAATAGTTTAGACTATTGACTGTGCAATGCACTGCAATTTAAAAGTATTCTATAGAGATTGATTTCACCTTACAGAACACATGGTCATATCTTGGACGATGAATAAAATAAAGAAATAAGGTGTTTTAGGCATATGCATTATTCCTGATACAGTACATTATACAGAACATGTAAATTAGGTATCCATCAACGCATTATTGAGCGATCTGATACATTTCTCAATATTTAGCTAATTCAATACAATATGATCACCAAGACTTAACACCTTAACTTAACATGTATTTATCGTATGATCTGTAGAATGAAGCCCTGTGATTGGTCAGTTCTTGTGCTGTACCAATCTGTATTGCTAATGAGATTGTCCCCATCGATCATCTCTGTAGCAACACAGAAAATATTGGTACGGAGGGGACAATCTCAGTTTAAATACAGAGAATACAGAATATTGCATAGGGAGCATCTCCAAAGTAAAACCTAAGATCACACGATAAAAACGTATAATATAAATGCTGGATAGCTGGATGCTATAATAACTTAAAGGTAATTACTAGATAAAAAATGTTTGTCATCAAACAACTGATTTCATAAACTGTGCAGGTATAAATAATCGTCTCATCAATTATTTTATTCATTATGCTGCAATTGTCTCGGTGGATTGTTATTAACTTTGAAGAAAAATGTCATAAGTACAAAGTAAAACATCATATTTAGATCAATATCAGTTCATACAACAGGCCTACAGTATAATCCCTTGTGTTGTTTTGCCATTGCATGATTTAATTTTAAATATTTAACAGATATACAGTGAAACCTGTGAAGTGGAACATCTCTGTAACTGGAACACCTCCATAAGTGGAACACTTTTTAAAGTCCCATGACCTATTGATTGATGTTAAATGAACTTCTCTTTAAAACACCTCCATAAGTGGAACACTTTTTAGAGTCCAATGACCAACTAATTAATGTTAAATGAACTTCTCTTAATGTAAAACACCTCCAAAGTAGAACATTTGTAGAGACACCAAATGTGTTTCGCTCATACAGGTTTTACGTTGATTCATTTGTGTTTCCAGGTTATTCCTTGTGTTTCTTGTTGGCAAAATGTTTAAGTGAGTACAATGTATGAATTAATTATCTCATTTGTTAATGTATTTTATATATTTACTAACCTCAAAAGAATACAGAACAATTTCATGTGAAAATAAAGCCATTTGTGGCAATTATTACATTTGGGAGATGGGGCAAATGACAATTGCATCTGGAAAAATGTTGATTTTCAATATTCCAGAAAAACTATCAATATATCATCACTGTTCCACAACTAGTTACTTTGACGGAAAGTCAATGTAACAAAATAGTTGAACTTCCTGGATACAGGTTTTTGTTTTCTCGATTTAAACTTATTTATAAGTAAAGTTGCAGATTATAATTTGGCGCAAAGCTGGAAAATTTAGTCTAGCTTTAATAAGTTTCTTCGATTTGGTAATTCATTGGAAATGAAGTTACGATTCATATTATTATTTAGTCCCTCGCTTTTGTTACATTGACGAAAGTCTGTTATATTACCATTATATGTTACTTTGACAACTTATGTCAATGTAACAAAAATGATGGTCTAAATGAATGAATTACAGCTTTATTTAAAAATCAAATTCCAAACCGACAGCATTTCTTCAGACAGCTAGACTATATTGTCTAACTTTGTACCATATCATAATCCGCAACTTGACTTATAAGTAGGTTTAAATCAAGAAAACAAAAAACTTGTATCCAGAAAGTTCATTCATTTTGTTACATTGACATTCTGTCATAGTAACTAGTTGTGGAACAGTGAGGAAAATTATGATGAAAATTGTCTGCTATATTCTGCAATATACGTATACAGGCTTGATAAAAAAATTGTAACTTTTATTTATCATATTTGTTGTTTAAATGTTTAGAGCTAGAGATGCAGCCTGTCACATTAATATTATATTTTGATGCTCCAATTCTTTTTTATCCAGGCTGTATTTCCAAGACTACATATCCCTACATTTCTCTGGGAACAATCCATGTTTTCAAAACAACCTAAAATTTTACACCCTCTGATAATATTTTACAGATATAGTATATGGCAATTGGGTGAAACTTCCTGATGGTTGCATTTTGGGGCATGACGCTGAAATTTTCTCTAACATCTCAAACATCACTGAATGTGCAGCCAAATGCGACAGTCCAGATTACCCTTCATGTGTGTCGATCGAGTTTGTATCATCTAATACAACATGTCGATTTTCACCCGCACATTCTCAATACCCTGAAACTACTGGCTCTAATGTAGAAGTCCCCTGCCCAGAAGCTCCAGGCATTGAGTATTGGCAGAAAGATCCAGTTCTACCCATCAATACTTGTAAGACATTTATATGTAGTTGTACATGATAATGTATAAAGCTTGGTTAGTTTGAACATGAGCTCTCTCTTGAAAGCCCATGGTTTGATTCAATTAAATTTGTTTTCTTCTGATTTTGACATTTGGCAGCAATTTATTTGGCTGATTTAGACAGATTTTGAAATTTCTATTTTTCCGAATCAGACCATGTTTTGAAATGACAACATTCAATAGAAATACAGTTTCAGAATTACTAAATTACTGACTTTAATACTAGCTGCTACATATATGATTCTCTCCCAGTTGACTTGACTTTGTTGTGTTTTTTCAATCAACTTACAATGGAAATGGTTTAATAAACAAACGTAGGCATCAGGCCTAGTTACAGTATGGCCATGTACTTAAAATGTCAATGTAACTTGAACATGTTATGACACTGTATTTCAGATCCCTATATTGAAATACCAAACACATGTATAATTGGCGATAATGATGCAACCATTTATTCGATTCCATCCATCGAAGGATGCTGGACTGAATGCTTGGCTCAGGGGTGTAAAGCCATTGAGTTCAACAGCCAACTAAATGAGTGCCACCTTCACGATGGATCATACTTTGAATTCTCAAAGGCGGGGAAAGTATGGAGTAGTCCATGTGCTATCAAGGGGAATGGTACCTGGATCTACAGACAGAATAATGACCCATTTATTCTCAATGAAGTATAGAATCAAGACACAATATTGTATACTAAGTGTTCTTTTGATTTATGCATTAATGCATTAAAAATAAATTCACGCAACCATTTAGATTAATGATGTGTTTATCCAGTTTTCATTTTGAGAATCTATTTCAAGCCATGGTGAGTTTAAAGTGCAGGGCCCAAAAAATCTTTCTCGATTCAAAATGATATGTACATGTAGCTGTTTTTGGCACCTGAACCCATTCTTATAGAAAAGTGAAACTATTTCTTTGTGACATATAGCTTGAAATCTCTAATTTCAACCTCTAAAGTCTTGGAGAATGGAGAGTTGCTTCGAGGATTGCTAAAAAATACTGGGAACTTCTCGTAAAATTTCATCGTATGAATTGTTTAAGTTGTTGTTTCTGTAAAATACATGTACAGTGTAGTACCAAACATAAGTCAAATAGGTTATACTCCCCTTTCTTGCAAAAAATAACCCTTGGCATCTCACAACTCAATAGCAGTAACAGCAGTTGCAGATCAACTGACTTAACAATTTTCAAGTAATTTCCTTCATTTCTACTCTATATAACAAGTTACGCTTATATGGAAGATTAATACGTTCATAACTCTTTCAATATTTACAATTTACGTCTCACTTATTTTAAAATGCAAAGACAAATTGTTCGAGTGATATTGCGTGAGATTATTTTACATTTCTAGTAACATATATGAAATAGAGTAGATGTATATTAATTGGACTTTCAAAATGCTTCAAACAAAAGGTACAGTATAAAATTTATATTAATCTCAGGTTCTCATTTAGTTTTTTTATTTTTGGAAAAAAATTAATAAATCATCAAATAAAAGATCATCATATGAATTGAAAACCTATTGCAAGGACGTACGCCATAGCTAGGCATGAAGCAGGCGAGGCAACTGCTCCACCTAATTTTACAGAAAAACATTTATACAGATTTTTCGATTGAAACAGTAAAAGTGAAGTCTATCTTGTTATATTGCTTTAACTCAAATTTACCTCACCTATTTTAAGGTATGGTTATGACCCTGTATTGACATAACTTTCTTTGAAATAGGAATGAATAGACCGATCAGTCCAAAAAGATGATATTTGAATTATTGAATCATGCGATCTATAGGATTGATGAGGCCAATAATACTCTTGGAGCCTGGGCCCTCAACACCAATGTTAACTATGTTCATATGAAAATTATTATGAAATGAAAAACAATGACCTATAAAAATTGCACCAGTGAACCATCTCTAAGAAATTAGAGTCAATGCTATCTTTTAGGCATGCTTTACACTAGTTATGTAATTTTTGATTGATTATTTCTTAAAAGTTATTGTTAATGATCAGTATTTATATGGCTTTCAAACAAAAACCTTGCAGAATTGGAATGGTTTCATATGGGTGTCAGTCAGTAATTCAGGGTTCCAAAAACCTTTTTCAGAATAAATTCTCAACATTCTCCTGAGATTTCTCGGCAAAAATATTCATTTCATTTCCAATTTTAAGAAGAAACCAAGTATTATTGTAAATAAATGTTTAATTTGATAGGCTTAACATAAGTGCACAATAAACATAGTATGGTTTGAAATTATTTGATTTTAAACAAATTAATCTATTCTTATAATCTTGATCATAAACATCTCATCATCCATTCATCATTTTTGCAATTATTGTTTTTTACATTGTTATTTACTTTAAACATTTTCATATATACTTAAGTTTATAAATGAATATCAATATATCACAATGCTGCAATACACATAAACTTGGCTTTATTTGAATTAATATACAGGGTGTCCCTTTACACTTCCAATGTAAAGACTGTGTAAAGTATAAAGAGGCTTTATGGCACCCTGTAGAATGAAATTAATAAATTTAATCATATCTGTTTCCAGATTACACCCTGTGTTTTATTTGAATTAATATACAGGGTGTCCCTTTACACATCCAATGTTAAGTCTGTGTAAAGTATAAAGATACTTTATGGCACCCTGTAGAATGAAATTAATAAATTCAATCATATCTGTTTCCAGATTACACCCTGTGTTTTATTTGAATTAATATACAGGGTGTCCCTTTACACATCCAATGTTAAGTCTGTGTAAAGTATAAAGATACTTTATGGCACCCTGTAGAATGAAATTAATAAATTCAATCATATCTGCTTCCAGATTACACCCTGTGCTTTTTGTTGGTGACATGTTTAAGTGAGTAAAATTTAGATCAAGAATATCCTTCACACAAAAAAGTAATTATTTAAAGAACTCAAGCATTGTAGAACTCCAAATGAAATCAGGCACAATTAGCACAGTACATGTATGTAGTGTTACGTTTTGATTTTATGAATTATGCATTTATTGTTATAGGCGTGAGGAAAAATGGACGTTATGAGTTCATTTAATTTTTAGATCATGAAAAGAATAAAGTAACTCATTTTAAATGTAACTGTAAGCTGATAGTTGTAAGTTAAAATATAATTCTGATTTTCATACAAAAATAATGACATAAATAATATACTATTTTACAGTTATCAGTCCAGTACATGGTAGCTGGCTGAAACTTCCCCATGGATGCATTGTAGGACATGACGCTGAGATTTCCAAGGGAATATCAAATGCTACAGAGTGCGCAGAAAAGTGTGACAGTCCTGACTACCCTTCTTGTGCCTCTATAGAGTTTATCTCATCGAAAAAACTGTGTCGATTTTCTCCTGCTCATTCTCAATATCCCAAACCTCACAAAGGCTCTAATGTAGAGGTACCTTGTCCTGAGGATCCGGGCATTGAATATTGGCAGAGGGTGCCTGTTGTACCCAAGTCAACATGTAAGGAATCACACTACACTCTGCCTATACACATAATTTACATTTTGATGCTAATAAAAAATTTACTTTCATGGGAAATGATGCTAATCTTGTTGATATCACAAGAATATCTTGTGATGTCGTATGAATATCTTGTGATGTCGTATGAATATCTTGTGAAGTTGCATGAATATCTTGTGATGTCACATGAATATCTTGTGATGTCGTATGAATATCTTGTGATGTCATCTGATGAATATCTTGTGCAGTCCCCACCAATGAAATAAGTAACTACATTTACATGTATCTAACAGAGCTCTGTATTTTGCAGATCCATATATTCAAATACCAAACACGTGTATAATTGGCCTTGATGTTGCAAGCATCAATTCAAGAAATATTGAAGAATGCTGGGCTGAATGCAATAATCTAGCCAAGGGGTGTAAAGCCATTGAATACAACAGCCTGCTAAATGAGTGCCACCTACATGGATCATTTATTGAATTTTCAACGGTGGGAAATGAATGGAGCAGCCCATGTGCTATAAATGGTGAAGGGAGTTGGGTGTATAGGCAGAGTAACTCTGTGTCTCTCAGTGACATTGACAACATTGTTCAATTTGGTGGATGGCTCGCAGAATAGTTTAGTTGGGATAGTTTTTGAAATAGATGCCATTTATATTAATAGTTTTATTACATTGGAGGCTTATTATACTTTTTCTGGTTATTTTATCAAAGAGCCACATTAGTGGGATAATGCAAACTTTTTCAAACCGTGATAGCTTGGATTGTGAATATTTTCTGATCTCTGAGATCTTTATCAAGATCCATCCCCTTTATATGATTATATGAACTCCAAGTAATATAAAATAAAATTACATTTTAAGTTAATTGAATCTGAAAATGGAGGGGCATGTAAACACATTCTACTTTGAAAAACGCAACCCTGTATTATGACTTGAAACAAAAACTAAATTGTGCTTGAAGATAAGATTTATGTCTTTAAATAAAAAATGAATCCATTTAGGGATGAGATGAGCTAAAAGCAATGGATTAAATGAAAACTGAATTGGGATATAACATCGGGAACACAAATCTTAGCTTGTATTCGCGAGTGCAAATTGCGGCTACCGGATTAGCCTATTAATTTTTATAAAGCCTGTCATTTTTAAGTTGTAATTTCAAACAACGCGTCTGTCAACGAAAAGTGATCAGTGATCACATGACTTTTTATGCCAATGAAAGGATCAATTTTAATAAAGCTCCTCAATCGTATTGGCAAACAGAACACAGGCTACTGTTACATGCTGGTAAATAGACAGATTAACCCGTTATTTAGCCCAGCAATCGGGTTTGAAGCGAGAGGTGGCAGCTAACGGGAAGCACGACAGGTACTATTCATATTCAAATGAGTTTGCCTTCAAACTGCAATCAACCTGATAGCCAGTAGCCTTTATTTGCATTCGCGAAAACAAGCTAAAATAAATTCTGTTTTCATATTTTAAACACCTTACCTGCATGGTGATATGCTACACCATTGGGCACCAGTCTTCCCAGCATAACATCCAGGCCAACAGGGATGCTCTTAAGCTGCTCATATACATCACGCAATCCAGTCATGTTCAACTTCACCTCCAAACTTGTGACTGATTTCCCTTGAACTGTAAAACAAGATACACAGTGACAAGCATTGCACTTTTTATCGAAAAATTCTTTCTTGGTTCAAATTTTTGTAATCACCCATTGACTTGCATGATAAGAAACCTTGAAATATGAACAAACTGCTAATCTAAACAGCTTTGGTTTTTGGGTGGCCCAAGCAGTGTTCAGATTTGGCAGGTTTTGTTGTACATTTATTTTCTTTGAGATATGTGATTCTGATTTTTGATTCCACATGAACTCATGATATTACTGTTAAACGCACCTTTATCAAGCCTTTAGTGATTGTAATCTAGATCTCTTTTTCTTCACATTTTTAAGATTTTTAAGAAAAGACAATTCCTTGGATATGAGTTTTAAAAGTTGAAAAGTGTTTATATTTAATTGGAAGGTTATCTTACCACCTGAACTAGCTCTATGCTGCCTGTTTATATTATAAAACTCCCTAGCGATGGTCTCCGCCAGTTTTTCACACCAGTTCTTAGTCGGACAGAACACTAATACAGAATGCCCTTCCTTGATCGTTTCAAGACATAAATTCACGACGTGATCCTCATCCTTTTGAAATTTCACACTTGTGTCTATGTCTCGCATTTTTTTCAAATCAGAGTCGAAAATTTCGGTGCCGATTTTGACACATTCTGTCAATGGGACAGGTCTGAAATTAGTCTGATAGAGGTCAGCACTGAGCCATGTTGCTAAGAGTTCAAGGTTCGGCAAAGTGGCACTCATCCCAACGATCTGAATTCTATTGTCTGCTGCATCCCTGAAATGATTTTTCTATAAGTAGACTAACTATGAACATATCTCATAAAAATATGGGATCCTTTCTGAAATTCTAAAAAAAAACTGATTATGCTTACATTTTGTTTCCAAAATAATTTCCCTGGTGCTGCCACTACTTCAATATAGACCAACAATTATTTCCATTTAAAGATTTTGTTCTTCAGTATCATAACTAACTTTTTGCCATATATCATATTACAATGAATAATATAACTGCCATTAATATAAAGACAGTTGATTAAAACTTTAGATGTTGAGCATGGTTGAGGAATTGATGAGCCTATTCTCAATGATTATTTTTTCTCTCATTGCAACTGTGCAAAATGTTTTCTAACTGCTATTTGTTACAAATGCCATTTGTTACAGACACCAAGCTTGCAAAACATCACCACCTGCCATTTGTTACAGATGCAAAACTCTGAATGCTGACTGCCAAGCACTGTCCACAAAAAGGATGGAGACTATAACAATATGTCACTACTTCTGATGGTGACACAACAACCACTACAAAGGGAATCTACTTGGTAAATTTGAGAAAAGAGATAGCAAGAAATATGTACTTTAAAAAATCCTAAACATTTTTTACATACTTTGCAACATCATCAGTTTTAGCAGATTTAGTGTTCAAGTCCAACTTCAATGTGACATAGCGCACTTTTGTCAGCAGAAGTTCTAGCAGGTAGCCTCTGTGGGGATCACCTACCATGTGCAGTTCATCTACTACAACAATTCCTGAAAAAAGTCAAAACAAATGGTTTTGTTTTTTGGAAAGAAAAGACAAAGCTCGATTTGATTGTAAAGGATAGAGATAAACAAATGCTTAGAACACTTTTAATGCATTGGGCAATCTGATCAAAGTTGATCTAAAAAGGGGAGGAACGTGTTCATCTGACCCACTACTTAAATGTGGCACAGTTTTGCATTTTACTGTGAATTGATAAGATTTAGACAATCAAAAATGTCAAAGGTGCTCACCTAACTGGTCCAGTTTCCCCTCCTCTAGTAGCCTATTAACCAGACTGTTAGCTTTCTCTATTGTGCAGACTGCTATGTCAACATTACTAAAGCCCCCACTAGGGTTGAGGTTGCCCATATAGCCTCCAACCCTCAGGCCTGCATCTTGGAATAATTGCTGGAATTTCAGAGAAAGGCATTAACATGCAAAATGTCACCACCTGCCATTTGTTACAGACAATTACAATTGAACATTGACTGCTGAACATCAACCACCAAAAACTGAACACCAATTGCCAAACAATATCCACAAAAAAGACTATAACAACATGTCATCACTATATATTAGTGGTGGTGATATAATAACTGAATTTAGCGACTAAGGACATCAGAATTTTATATACCTCATCTCTACTACTCTTATTCTATTTGGGAAAGTTCCAGGAATTATCAAAAATCATATATTCAAATAATTCAATGCAAAAGTTTATGAGGAAAAAATACAACAAAAGTGCATTTAAAATAAAGAAGGTCTTGGAGCATAAGAAAATTTAGATGCATTAGGCAGCACAATGCAAAATACAATGTAAAACAAAGACCTTGATTCAATGAAAAATATATATTATGTGAATATAACACATGTTACAGGATCCAGCCAGGTCCAGATTAAAGTGAAGGATGCAGGTGCAATATACCAACCGCATGTATAATCAGTGTGTAGGAGTTGACAACTAAAATTTATAAAGGAATATAAAACCATAAACCTCACCTGCAAATAGTTCATCTTTTCCCTTGCCACTGACACAAAGGGTAAAATCATGATTGCCTTTTTCCCAGTTTCTATGACACGCTTTAACATCAACAGTTCAGCAACCATTGTCTTGCCTGCACTCGTTGGGGCAGAGTAAACCAAGTTACCGCCATCTATAAATAGGATAAGACATTTCAATTACATTGTAACATTAAATAGTGAAACATCTTACTCTAAATCCTGGTGGTCTATCTGTCTGTAAAGACCATTAAATCTGTGGGTCCGAACTTGATACTACATAACTTCAACCATGAAGGAGAGGGGGGCAAGGTGTGGTGGGCTCCAAGGTCAAAGGTCAAAAGATAATATAGTGTTTAAAAAGTGCATGTTACATTGACCTGACAATAATATTACAATCTTATTTCAAAACAGTCTAGGTGTCAGGTGACAGACTCTCACGATTGAGTTAAGTTGTTTTTACATAAGCTGATTGAGAAATCATGTAATTCATCACATCACCTTCCCTATCAGGACCACCTAGGAGTGTTCAGACATTGTGATAATTTTATACATTTCAAAAAGATTTGGAGCAAGTCGCAAGTTGCAAGATGATGATGTTCAGGTTTTTGAGCATACTGTTTGTCATACATGTTCATGTAGAAGCAGATAATGTTGCGAGTAAATATGACCTGGACATAGATGAAGTGAAGCAACAAATGGACAGTAAACTGGCTATGATTGATGGTAAATTGAGAGAAATGAAAATGAGAATGGATGCATTGGCTGGAGACAATGTAAAACTGAAAATGAAAATGGACTCATTGGCTGGAGAAAATGTTAAACTGAAAATGAAAATGGACTCATTGGCTGGAGAAAATGTTAAACTGAAAATGAAAATGGAGTCATTGGCTGGAGAAAATGAAAAAGTAAAAACAAAAATGGATTCATCGGGTGCAGGTGAAGAAAATTTAAAGGCTAAACTGGGGGACAAAAAACAGATAATGCAAAATATGAAAACACTGACAAAGGAAGACATTAAACTGAAAGCAAGTGCAAGATTTAATACACATGTAGATACTTTGATTGAGCAAAACTTGAACCTGAAACAGATAATTGAAGACATAATAGAGAATAATAGCACATATGTTGAGACACCTGTGACCACCTATATAAGATGGGGTCGAAATGTCTGTCCTGCTGGCGCCACTGAGGTGTACAGAGGATATGCTGGGGGAACATGGTTTACTGAGCCTGGTGGTGGAGCAGACTATCAATGCCTCCCTAACAGACCACAGTGGGGAAGGTTTACAGAAGGTATCACTACATATTCAGCAGTGATGCATGGTACAGAATATCAAGTAATATCAGTACCTAATATGAGAAACCCATTTTTAGGGACCAATGCACCAATTCCAGGCAATCCAGAGTCTCTTCATGATCAGAGTCCTCTGTGTATTTTATGTAGTGTGCCACGTCAAGAGACTTTGATGATCCCAGCATGGAAGACATGCCCTGAAGGCTGGACCCTTGAGTATCAGGGTTACTTAATGGCTGAACATAGGGGACATGCAAGTAGTAAGAGTTTTATATGTATGGATGAAGCCCCAGAGGCTGCAGCTGGAGGCAGGGGGAATCAGAATGGAGCATTGTTCTATCCAGTTGAGGCCACATGTGACACCCTTCTATGTCCCCCTTATATACATGGTGGGGAGTTAACATGTGCTGTTTGCACAAAATAAACATCAGTCACAATGCAGTACTGAACAATGTTAACAATACTGGCAAAATAGCTTAATATAGAGTCAAGGAGGATTGGCTCCCAGAGTGCAACATCGATATTCTGTTCCATATCTAGACATGTCGTGATACAAAATTTGAATTCAAAAAGCCGTCATTTTGTTCACTTCAACTTTGAATCGTTAATTTTGGCCTTATTTCCTAACAAACAATTCCTCACAAGAAATGATCGAGATATTGGTTCAAATATTTTGAACTAGTAACTGTTTATTTTGAATTTATGCTCGGTTATAATTTCAGAAAATAATGACATTTCGACATTTTCATTGTTGGAAAATATCGAATTTCCATCCTGGGAGCCAATCCTCCTTGATATAGAGTAAAATATCAATTTTCACACTTTTTGCTTTTCCTGCTTACATATTTACTTTTCCTGCTTTAACATATTCTGTTTTCAGATTCACAAGTCAAAATATGACATTGTTTCAACCACTGATGGTTAACCTTAATAATAGTGTTCATGTGTATAAGTGGAACACCTTTGGTACCTCAAGGCATTATCTACTTAGGAGCTTTTTCAATCAGTGGTTCAACCAACAATAAGTAAATAGGTCACAGGAATTTGAAAAAAAGTTACACTTATGGAGGTTTTCCATTTACAGAGGTGTTCAACTTAACAGTTTTAACTGTATACGAGGGTTGTCCCAAAAGTAATGCACTATTTGTTCAAACTTTATCAATATATAACTCACTTAATACATTGCCAGTGCTGAGACACTCAGCCTGCCATTCAAACATGGTTGTGATCCCACATTCTTTATATTTCTCCAGCACAACATCAGGCAAACCCCAGGATGTCAACTCAAGTTTGCTTATTTTTTCAGATTTACTTCCTAAAAATAAAATCAAATAAAATCATAAATTTCATGGTTTTAGCTTACAAGTATTCCATTTCAGCTTTGCTTTCTTAAAATAAAATGTTGCCCTTAAAATTAAGGCTAGTCTCAATTTCAAAATGCTCTTAGCTTATTCTATTTTAGATATACTTTAAGAAATAAAAACTATTTTATCTTATACTATATTTTTCGAATTATGTTAAATCATCTGTTAAAGAATACAACTTTGTCATGGAGAAGTAGTTAGATAAATTTTGTTATGGTAAATATAAACAAACAAATATTTAATTCTATGGGCAATAACTGAATAAAACCAATGAATGTGCAACAGGTACATGTATTGCAAAAACATGAATGAAATATCTTATTTATTACATATCATTACTTTGTATTCTATATGATCAGAATCCATATTCCATGAGCAGGCAATATCCAGAAAAATCAGGGTGCCGGGGACTCAAGTAACAGAAATTGATCACATTTTAATTGAATTCAAAGATAATTAACAAAAATACATATACACGTAAAACGTTTCTTACCTTTTTGTTCTGAAGTGATTTTATTGATATTATCTGAGTGTGGGTCTGTCTGATTTTTATTCCCAAGCGCTTCATTTGGACGATTCTCACAAGATCCTCCAAAATGGCTATTTTTATTAACAGGCCCCTTAGCCTGGCGATTTTCATAATGAAGTTCCACAGTCTTATGATTTTCATGACCTGGTACCTCCACCTTGCGATTTTCACAATGAGAGGTTATAACAGATGGACCATCAACTTGACTAGATAAACTTAGACTTAGATCCAGAGATTCCTGAGTAGAAGTTATCTGAAAAAGTTTCCGTATTCTCTCGGCAGAATTTTTACCAGGTTGATTACTTATTTCATTGGAATTATCCCGAATTGCTTTTTGGTCTTCCAATTTTCTATTTGATTTTCTATTTGGTGATTGTTTCTGTTGGTTTAATATGCTTCTGGAGTCAGTTTCACTTTGTTTTCCAGTTAAGATTATATTTGATTTTTCATAATATTGTTTGAGAGGGTTCCCACTTTTTAACTGCTTTAAAACTTCTGATTTGCTTGATTTTTGTATTTCATTCATAAATAATTTATCATGTTTCATTTTCTTTTCTTCTTGGTACCCAGGCTTTACTTTTATAGCTGAGATTTCTTCAATTTTGGATATTTTCATTTCATTGTCAGCAATTCTTTGTGTTATTGGTTTATTTTCACAAACATTTTTATTCATTGCATTTGAATTTATCAATATTTCATTTTTTCTTTGTCCAGGGATTGATTTCATTTTTATCTCAACATTATTCTGATCATTGACTGAATTTGCATTTTTGTTGGTTGTAGTATTATTAGTTTTAGAATTCTGATTTGAGCTGCCTGCAGCTAGTTTTGATTTTGAAGATACTTTGGCATTTTTCCCTGTATCCCCAATTTGTAAATTGCTTTCAATCTCCTCCATTGCAAAGTAGAGATCATCATCCGTGAATGATGTATTAAAATCATGCTCCATGTTAGCACTTGTAGATGCAGTTGTTGTTGCATTAGGACCTAGAGCTGACTTTGTTATAGAATTTGGCACCACATCATTTTCTTTCTGATGACTCTGAAGCCTAAAAGATGCAGAACAAAAAAATATTCTAAAACTTTGAAATAATAAATAATTTCAACAAAAATACAGTACTGTAATTTCTAATTCATAAAATTACAAACAACTAAGACTATTGCAATTTAAGAAAAATGTGTAATAATATTTTCATGTTCCACTTACCTTAGTATCAAATGAAGGATTTGTGACATTCAAAAAATAAGATTTTTACAATGGCATGCTCCCACATATTGTGGCAAATGGAGTAGCTGTAACCGGAATGGCAAGATTAAAGTTTAAATTACGCATACCTCTGAGACCGCCTAGGACTACTATTTTCACCAACATTTCTGTCACTCTTTGTAGCACAAACATAATTTATAGGTACTCTGCCAAGATATCGCTGATTGGATATATTAGTATTTGAGATAGCTGATGCCACAATTTTTGTTTGATTTCCTGTTTTTTTGGAGTCCACATGGTGCAGTGAATCTTGAGCTTTTTGTTGTTTCCATGTGTTTGTTAATCTTTTCATCCTACAACAATAAAATACATTGTACAATTACAATACAGATACAGGCTTACGGCTTCAGTTTACTTTGAAAGTTTTCTTTTATTCATCAAGATAGACATGTACAGGTATTTAGAATTAGTATTTATTTTTTTGGACTATATGTTCTGATACAAATTAGATTTGCAAATAATAAAGCTTGTGCTATATACAACATTCAATAATCCTGGTTACATAAATCATGGTTAAAATTGAAAAAGTTCCATATGGGGACAATTTCATATATGGATTAATTTCCGTAGTGATTTGTACTTATGCCAATGATGAGGTTCATTTGAACGTTTGGCAACATTATATCGTCTTTGTTTGTGTTGGATCATTCTCAGTATCCTGGTGGTAATCCAGGGCACTTTGAATTTCCCACTAAGAGTTTTACTTGGAATATGCTCATTGATTGATTTGAAGGAGGCCCAGTTGCCTTCAACTGATCTACTTTCAGAGCTCTCTTTGAATTCGCTGAACTTAGATCATAGAGTCTCTTTAAGTCCAGTCCATTCTGCCTGCTTGTATATGTGGACCTTACGAGGCTTCTTTTTCTGAATTTTCATTTTCAGGTTTATATCACATAGGACTGCCTCATGATCACTCATGCCTGAAACCACCGAGATTCTTTCTGCGAGGTTTGGGCATGTAGTGAATACTAAGTCAAGGATGTTATTTTGTCTTGTTGTTTCCTTGACTTGTTGGGTTAGGCCATGATCATCAGTTATTGTAATCATCTTCTCATTAAGATCATTAGAATATTGAGAATTAGGCCTTATAGTTCCATTCTCCCAATCGATGTCTGGTAAGTTGAAGTCACCACATAGGAAGATGTTCTTCATATGTGTATTACCAATAGCATATAGTTTATCGAGGGATGTTTGGAGCGAGTCCAAAGCACCAGTATAGTTGTTTGGTTGACGATAGAAGGATCTTAACAGTATGTCCCCATTTGATAGAGATGCTTTGAACCATATGATTTCGCAATCAGCTGTCGCTTCATAACCGACTGATATGAAGTCACTTTTGACTGCGATAAGGACGCCGCCAGCACCTTTCTTTCGGTCTTTCCTGTATGGAGGTTGTCTAAGGTAGTCTTGACCGAATATCCATTTGCTGTCGACGGTGTTGTCCAAGTGAGTCTCACAGCCTATGATGACATCTGGCTTTTGAGTTTCAATTAATTGTTGAAGGTGTAGTTGCTTCTCATGACTGATTAGACTGACATGTTACCGATGAATGAGAAAGAGTGGAGTCATTGAAGAAGCCACCCTTTCGTCTGTCTTAGTGGTGTGAACTTAAATTATTATCATTCATCATGTTCAAGGTCGGCGGTATATTGTAGTCTGAAGATGCCCATAGTGATATTCCATCATATTCATGCTTGCAAGTCAAAAATGGCAAAATTGCAAAAATTGAAAAAAAAAGATTCTGTGGCCACTTTATAATTATCAATAGACTAGCATAGATATATCTTATGCCTCTGCGGATGCTACATAAAATCGACATACACTTCATGTATTCATAGAAATATACCATTCTGATAACATTATTCTATTTTAGAAGATTTTTACCTTTTTAGTGAGCAAATTTTGGAAATGTTTAAAATTTCCGCTAGTTGACGTCATTCGTCAAAGCGAGGCTGACCGGAAATAGCCATTTGGCGGTAAAATTTGTAACTCTGCTAAATTATCTTCAAGATTTTGACAAATACTGCTATTTATCGACTCCAGATAGGAAGAGTCGTGGTATCCCTGGAAGTGGGAAAATTAAAGGCATTATTATATAGCGTAAGTTTATAAAATAGTGAATTGGTAGAGGTACAATCGTTTTTTTAAACTTCCAAAACATTTCAATTTTTCTTGAAAAATGAGAAGATCAAGTGATGTTGAGTTTTCTTATAAAAGCACATTATAATTCATTTGCCATTAGTGATTCTCATCATATTCGGTTCCTTTAATTTTTAACTTTGTTGATGCAATGTTTGTCTGCTTGAAGGTCGTTGCAGCTGTTAGTCAACTCACCAAGGCATTCAAGAAATCGTGAAAACTGCAACCATGAAACTTGTGACTCCAGAGATATCATGGCATGGAAGAGATCCAATTTACAGTATAGATTTCCAATACCTTAAAGGGAACATGCGTCGTATGGCCACATGTGGGACAGATAAGAATATCATGGTCAGTTTAGTTGCTTTTTATTATTACATGTAGTTGTTGAAATCAACAACAGAGTTGGAGGAGGCATTGTCATTCATGTTGACAATCTACAAAAATTATTGACTTCTACTTAATTTGGGCCCCGGTAAATCTAGCAAATCTAGCACCATGTAAATTAGTACCAAAATAGTGTACTGTGATATTGCAAGTCTGCCAAATTAAGTAGCCGCCAATTGTACATATTAGTAAATCCGCTAAAATAAGTAGCACCAAATTAAGTAGAAGTACAGTACCTTCTTGGACAACCCCCCCCCCCTTTCTTCTAACATCTTATACCTTGATCATAAATAACAGTTGGGAAAACTGCCAAGGCTATCATGTAGGTTGAAATACTTTGCAATTAAACTAGATTTGCTTTTTATCAATCAAAGGCCTTTGTTGTTGCACCTTTCACCAAAATGTTTGTTATTCTGGAACAAAATACTAGAAAATATTTTCAGATGTGGAATATTGTTGAAGACAAAGAAGGCAAACCAACCCCAGAATTCCTTGCAACTCTAACACGTCACAACCGGGCTGTGAATGTTGTACGTTTCTCTCCTGATGGTAAGTGAATACCTTGCTTCTATTCTAGAGTCCATTTCACTGCTTCATTGCGTCAGTAGTACGGCAAAAATAAGAAATTGGGAGACCATTGTGCAATAATATATGGAAAAGTATATTCATAATGTACATAAATGACATTTGTATATTTCAGATTTTTTAGTTTTTTGAGCAATAAGCCTGTGCCATCTTGTAATTTGAAGAATTTCAGCCATGTTAATCTTATTGAAAATAGCATGGCAGAGAAGCATCCAAATATAAGAGGCCACACACTTTATAAGCCAAACTAGAAGCAATCCAAGATATATAAATGTCATTCGTGTACAATAGGAATATATTATTGTAAAATGATATTTTGATTTCTTATTTTTTAGCTTTTACTGACACAGTTAAACAATGAAATGGACTCTAATGACTTGAAAATCCTAAAACTAGAAAAAACTTGACAAAGGAATTCTTAAGTGTAGATCTTTATTGAGAAATGTACCTCACTTTAGGATAGATCAATTTAAAAGGGAGGCACGTAAATGAGCATTTTGTATGTTTAAATAGTTAGGTCCCCAAAATTACGATCCATTTCTGTTGTGTTTAACATGAGAATAAGTCCACTGTATGATGGCAAACCTGTTAATTATTTCAATGTCAACTAAAACTGCATGTCATATTCAACAGTAACAAAGGTATACAATGTACATGTATAATATATTTGTAGGTGAATTGTTGGCCTCGGGAGGAGATGATTCTTACATCATGCTGTGGAAATTAAATGACACCCTCGTACCCGTCAACAATATATTCCAAGAAGAGGAGGCAGAGAACAAGGAGATATGGTCCACTTTTAAGGTGTTAAGGTAAGCAAACAAATATAGTTCATTCTACAGGTACACAAGGATACATGGTCCTTTGTCAGGATGTTAAGTTAAGTAATGAGATATGATCCACTTTCAAAGTGTGAGCTTACATATTTATTTAAAGGTGCAACATTTAGTGCAGAGGCCATTCAACAATCATGGACCAGTGTCAAAATATATTCAAGTTTGGATATTTCATCAAGACTAACATATATTTTTATTTTCTCCAAAGAAACCCCCTGGTTGAACATTATTTCAGCTGATATTCCTCTTGAAACGTAGGGGATCTTAAAAATCTATAAGTGGGACTCCCTTTATAGAAGCTTTGAACTGAATTTACACTTCTTAATGCTGAAATTGATATGGTCCACTTTAAAAGTATTAAGTTAAGCAAGGGGATATGAGCAACTTTAAAGGTATAAAGGTAAACATGAAGATATGGTCATCTTTCGAGATATTAAGGCGAGCCAGGAGATGTTGTCATCTTTAAAGATATTAAGGGAAGGAGTTGTTAATTTAGGTAAACAAAGAAAAGAAAGCCACCCAAGTTCTCAACAATTCCAAACTAATGTGTCATCCTCAAATGTAAACCATCAGATGGTGATAATACTGTCTCAAGGATTTCACTGGAATTTTTCACAACTGGCTGAATAAATGAAAACAACAGGCAAAATTCATGGAAATCATAAATTTAACATGGAGAAGTTGAAAAGTCCTTAAATCAACAGGCAATTTTGTGAAAACAACTGGTGAAAATCGCCTGTTGCCTGCTGCTAATGAAACCCCCTTGTCTCCTGATTTCATTGATTATTTCATTCCAGGGGTCACTTAGAAGATGTTTATGATCTGTCCTGGTCCAAGGACAGTCGCTACATTCTTTCTGGTTCTGTTGACAACAGTGCCATCTTGTGGGATGCCAAAAAAGGTAAAAAATTTCAGAATTTGATAGCAGTAAAACTTAATATAAATCTATTCTATAAAATAACAGCAAATAGTTTATTTTTTTTATTTTGATTAAAACTTATAATATTAGGAATACATAACATGTACATTTTGTATACCAAAATGCAGATATTTAACTTGTTTCCTTAATTTTTTTACACCCTGTAATTTATTTCTAGGTCAGTCCCTGAAGATGTTTACTGAACACAAAAGCTTTGTACAGGGTGTTGCATTTGATCCCTTACAGAAATATTTAGCAACACTAAGCAGTGACAGGTAGGTTAAGGGTAAACATTAGAGCCATTTTAATGAACATTTATTATTTGTGGTGCAGTAAATAGTCAAGAGTCATATTGTTGAGGTATTGAGGGTCTTGAATAATCATATCGACTCCAGTGTCCAGAATCACGAATCATGAATTTGACAATTTTTTGGACTAATTTTTCCAAAATTAGACATCAAAAACCCATTTTCTTTCCAGTCCACTTTTTCATAGTCGACTCAAGCTTTCAAAGCAAGACAAGTACACTGACTTTTTTTACTTTTATAAAACAGTCAACTTTTGTTCAAGTTGATACGGTTGTCTTTCGAACTAGAGACTTACCTCATTCGAAAGATCCCAAAAGACTTTATCTATACTGAAAATCTTAGATCCCAACATGAAGTGAGTTTCGTCAGATCGTCAGATTTCTCCGACTGATATCAGGTTATCTCAATTTGGTTCGTTTATAAATAAGAATTTCTTTACCCTTGTAAGACACATGCGCAAAATTGATTTATAAACGTTATTTGTTGATGAATGACAAGCTGTTTTGAGTAGATCAGGTACTTGTTTTAGACACAACATTAATTTAGCTTGACATTGAGGTGCACATTCACACTTTTGAGCATGTTAATACAAGTTTTTAGGAGATGAATTTTCGAAAAATTGGTTATCTAATTCACTCGATTATCATATGGTCATATGGATATGTATTTCTGCTGACGTTTTAACACCACATTACATTGTTATAGAATTACGATGCAGAATGAGAATAAAACACAAAACAACTACTAAATTCCACTTGTTATTTCACAGGAGGTAAAAATGCACACTGCCTAGATTTTTTGTAAGGGTTTTCAGACATCGGATTGGCCACCATATTCGAAATGAAAATATCACTAAATAGAGCTTTGCGCATGTCATAACATATCGACTGAAAAGGGCTTACATACTGTAATCATGTGAATGACTCCAACCAACCTTAATGACATTTTATTCCTCAATCAAACCCTTATATCATTCCAGGTCACTGCGAGTGTTCAGCACAACTTCCAAAGCTTGTCTTGCCAATACATCTAAGATATCAGTCCCAAATGCACAGAATGCTGATGGTGAAACAAAGCCCAAGTCCTTTAAGATGTACCATGATGACACGATGAAGTCATTTTTCCGTCGACTGACCTGGACCCCAGATGGCCAGTTGTTGATCACACCTGCTGGTTGTATTGAGTCAGGGGATAAGACTGTCAACGCCACCTATGTGTTCGTTAGAGGCCAGTTTTCAAAGTATGTGAAATTTATTTCAGTTTTTATGTCATCACCACAAGTCGCGACAAATTTGTATAGTCCCCAACATTTTTGTAGGTGGTGTTAGGCGGTTGGTGTCAGTGGTTGGTGATTGGCATCTGTAACTGTGTTCACTGTTTGACACTCGGCGATTGAGATACTTGATCAAATATAGAATATATTGAAGCTTTAAGAAACAGAAATGATATGAAATAAGAAATGAAATAAGGTCAGAATAATTGTTCGCATGATAGGGATTTATGAGAGAAATATATTGTAAATTTTACTTGAAATGTAATATATTGTATCAGTAACGTGTTCTACTTCCCTTGTCCAATATAACATATTGTACAATTTACCTGCATGTCAAACATTGTACTTGTTTGCTAAATGATCTATTTGTATGTATAACAACACAATATACATGTATTTCTCACAATGTACTTGTATGTTACACAATTTACTTGTATGTTGCACAATGTACTTGTATGTTACAGACCAGGACTATATCTGCCTGTGCCACAGAAGGCCACCATTGCTGTTAAATGTTGTCCAATATTGTTTGAGTTAAACAAGAAATTGAGGCCTGATGTGGATCCAGATGATGAGAAGCTTAAAGAATGGGAAAAATATTCAACAATTTTCAGGTGTGTTATATGTAAAATCAATGGTATGTCATCACTTACAAATTTTGTAAATGTTTTCATTGAATGTTGAACTAATTCAACTGAGGATAGACATATTGTGATGAGTATTTCTTAGAACAGCACACTGGGGGAAATTAATACAACCATATTAAGTCAATTGCAAAACTTTAAACCATTGAGTTGTCACTTTGCCAATTAGCCTTTCAAAGCATACTTATAATCAAGATGTTTTTTCTTCGAATATTGCTTGAAATACAGATGACATCATCCACCTACTTTTGATTTGAATGCATTAATTACTCAGTTTAGCTACAAGTCTCTGTGACCCCCCCCCCCCCCCTCTTTTGACTACTACCCTTTGCATTCGTTTGACTTCACTTCTTAAAAGAGAGCTTCGTCTTCACTCTTTCAAACTAAAATAAACCTGTGAACTCATCGCGCCAATCAGTGTTCGTCGGCCAAATTTGACCAACGTTCTATATATGGTCATTTCTTCTGACGTCATTGTTGAGCCCGGAATTGACCAATGACATGCGCATATTTAATTAGAACGCATTTGGCGTATGTTTCTTTAAGCTCTCTGATTGGTGGAAGAAAGGTCAGCGCATAGGTCAAAAGTGATTTATCTCCCGAACTGTCACCGGTACCCGTCGTGGGGGCGGGGCTACTAAACTGTAATTAGGCAGAGTGTAGACTAGACTCTGCACGCAGGGTATTTGACTACACACCTCATACACTTGTTGTAGTGGCGGGTGAGTCACAAGGGCTTGTAGCGAGACTATCAAAAACAATTTTGGTAGAAACATCCACAGAAATTGCCTTCCAATGCAACCCCTGCATATATTTTTTTTTTTAATTCATACTGTATTTTATTTCACAATATCTTCCATTACAATAACATTTTTGCAAAAAATTCGCCAAAGAAAAAAAACCAATCTAACCGTCAAAGTGAAACATTTTAAAATTGACACATATTATAATTGATTTGCTGTATTTTGTTTTAGTCTACCATACAGGATGGTGTTTGCTGTAGCTACAGAGGACAGTGTGTTATTGTATGACACTCAGCAGTCCATACCAGTAGGCTACATCTCTAACATACACTACCACCAGCTTAGTGATCTTACGTGGTAAGTGCAATAGTGCATGTAGTAGTATAGAAAGTGCATATAGGAAGTAAATATAATAGTATAGAAAGTGCATATATAAGGGTTATGTACTGGGAGGTTTTGGATACAGGGTTTATCCGAAGGGAAATATATGTATCTCACGAGGGACCGCAGGGACCGAGGGAGATACACATATTTCCCGCGGGATAAACACTGTATCCAAAACTGACCGTACATAACTGGGTTTGGGGTAGATATAACCTTTACCACCTTTTTCAAATGACAAGATAGGCCTATACTGTAAAAGCACAATTTATATTTAACATTTTCATAATATTCCTTCAGTTCAATACAATAGAATTGTAACATTTAAACTTTTTGAAAAATTTTAAACTTCTGAAATTTAAATTTTTTAAATTTTTAAACTTTTTAAAACTTTTGAAAAAATTCACGGGAACGGGATGGATATATTATATCTGCCCGCATTTGGCCTAGAACGGAACATATACAATATATCCTGCCCACTCCTCAGATATGATATATATTCCCGGGTGATATCTACCCCAAACCCACTCAAGTATGAAAAACAATAGTATAGGAAATGCATCTAATAGAATAGAAAGTGCATCTTATGTATAGGACCTAGGAAGTGAATATAATAGCATAAGAAGTGCATATAGATATAATAGTATAAAAATTGCAACTTACAATATGCAGTAAAACCTGTCTAAGTGGAACACATTTGGTACCTCTAAAAAGTGTTTTACCTAAGAGGAGGTGTTCCACTTTTAGAGGTTCATTTAACATCAAGTCAGTTGGTCTTGGGACTCTGAAAAGTGTTCCACTTACAGAGGTGTTCCACTGACCACTTCTAGAGGTGTTCCACTTTACAGGCTTCACTGTACAAAGTATATTAGATATTACAAAGTGGGCTGATCTCTAACATACATCACTACCAGTTGATTGTTTTTACAGTTATTGATTGCATTAAATGCATTAAATGGACCTAACAAATGTGAACATATGCAAGTATTTCCCATAATCACGGGATGGTATCGAAATATTTGTCCGCTGTGACGGAGCATGTTATTTTTCATAAGAACACTAAGAATACTTCGCGATTTATTTTTTAACTCATATGTTTCGTTATACCATAGAAAATTACTTACTCCATGCAATGGATATATAATTTGCGGGTAACTTTCACTTTGTTTGAAGTTCAATTACGCTGGGAAGAAAAGCTATTGAAAATGGCGCCGGAGTATCATACTTCAAAATGTACCATTTCTATTTTAACTTTCTATTTGCACGATATAGTGACACGATAATATTTACACATGGTTTCAGCATAACTAAGAAGATATAGATGAGATGTTGATGTAATGTATTTGGTCTTTTTAATTCTTTTATAAAAAATAATTTTTAATTTTTCTGTCCGCTATGACGGAGCAGTTGCAAATGTGAACTGTGAAAATGCTCCGTCACAGCGGACAAAAAATATTAATATTATTTTTTATAAAAAAAATTAAAAAGACCCAATGCATGAATATCTCATTAATGCATTCAGAGTTATGCTGAAAACATATATTAATATTATCGTGTCACAATATCATGCCATTAAAAAGTTAAAAAAGAAATGGTACATTTTAGAGTTTGATACGCTGGCGCCGTTTTCAATAGCTTTTACTCCTAGCGTTATTGGACTTCAAAGAGAAGTGACGGTTACCCGCAAATGATATATCCATTGCATGGAGTAAGTAATTATATTTGATATAACGAAACATATGAGTTCAAAAATAAATCGTGAAGCATTCTCAATGTTTTTATGAAAAATAGCATGCTCCGTCACAGCGGACAAATCTTTCGATACCAGCCTGTGATAATCATCATTCTTTAGCTATTCAAATCATCATATATAATATGCCAAAGCTTGTTTTAGTGAACCACTCCAGCCATTCAGTTTTCTACAAACTATTTCTTATCTGTACTTTTAGGTCTCAAGATGGTCGTCTGCTTGCTGTGTCTTCTACAGATGGCTACGTCTCAATGGTACATTTTAATGAGAATGAGCTTGGAATACCATATAAGGAGCAACCTGTCACTATATCTGATCCTGTGAAGAAACTTGCAAATGAAGAAACCCAGGTAGGCTTTCATTAGGTCATTAGTCTATGGAGCCGTAGTTCTTCCAAGTGTGTTTGGAATAATCTGAATAAGGCTTAGGGCAACTTGTTTTGTATAGAAAAACTTTCGGTGCAGAAATTGCCCAAACCATGTAAAAAGAAATGCATCAAAATACAGTGTTGTGAGTTTTCCCTATTAGATCAGCAATTTCTTTACATTACTCAGAAAGTTCAAGTCCATGAAAAGTCTGTGAATAATTTTCATGGTATTTAGTTTTTGGGGGAGGGGGGGAAATAAACTCAAATCTAGATATTAAGTTTACTATTGACATTGAACTTTTTATGCCTCCCCTAACTACATCCTATTTGAGCTACGAAATTGACATATTTTGGATCTAAAAGACTCAATAAACACCAACAAGGTTATGCAGTTTTGTTTCAAATATTTTCTGTTTAAACTTAGATTTTATCAAATTTGTACATTATAGGCATCCTCCCCCTCAACTCTAAGTACCAACAAGCAGAAATCTGATGAACCAGGGCTCATACAAGTTCGTAAAAAAGAGAGCCCTGAAAACAAACCTAAGGACAGTGGTGAAGCTTCTGTTATACAGTTCCGTAAAAAAGAGAAACAAAGTCCAAAATCCAAACCAGTTGATGCCACTGAAGCTACAGTTATTCAAGTTCGGAGAAAAGAGAATCCAAAGCTCGAAAATAAGGATCCAGATGGTATCAAAATTCGTAAAAAAGAAAATTCTGAATCTGATAAAGGATCCAACACTTCTGGAGCTACTGGAGGGAGTGATAAAGGGGAAGAGGACCAGAAAGTGGATGGGAAAGATGATAAGGCTACTGTTATAGACTCTGAGAAGCCTATTGGACCTCAAACACCTACCAGGTAGATGTACATTACTTTTGAGAATTTACATTTAAGTTTAAATCAATTTTCAATAGGTTTTGATCTTAAGCTGTGTATATGAGTCATCAAAAATTATTTATTTATTTCAAAGGATATGCTTTTATGGAGCTATCTTGTCGTCGTCTTTTGTATATTTTTAATCCAAACTTTTTGCAGCACTTCAAAGCAGCCTAGACGTGTAGTTCTAACAACAATCAGCAACAGTCCATCAACCAATCAGAACCAGGCTTCCTCATCCAATCAGAGTCCTGTAGTAGTAACCAATCAGATTAAGAATACTGATGCTGTCATGTTGAAGCCCGGCACTCCAAAACAAGGACGGAGAATACAATTGATGACCATGTCTTCGCAGGTAAAGAAAAACTTCTAATTCTAGCCATATGATATGTGTATCCTAGTTACTTGGTGGTAAAACAAAAATATCAGTCACTTTTCACTTTGCACTCATTTATCCTAAATGTAGAATATGCTTGTTTTGCTGACATTTTGATTTCACAATATCTTGTCTTTTTATTTCATGTGTTACGACAAATTAAAGTAATTTCTTTTGATGTAAATGGAGAATGGTAGAAAGAAGAGGCATTAAAGAGTGTAAACTGAGTTTTTAAACTGATGAAAACATAAAAGTGAGCAGGCACTTGGTGTCTAATTTTTGTATGGCATGTTAACATTTATGGAGGATTACATTATAAACCATATTTTTCATCACTTCTATCTCCAGAGTCCGAGTCGTCTCCCTAGCGATTCCTCGGATATAGAATCCTCTGATCAGGACTTCCATCTCCACTTAGAGTCCTCTTCAGATGAAGCTGAACTCTCCAAACATCGGACCCTGCATGGAGGATTAGGAGATACAACAAGTGTTTCCTCTGGTACATTGCCCACAAATTCCAAGTCAAAAAGTCCGCGAAGGGTTAATTTAGTAACTTTATCGAGTACACCTGAGAAACGGGATGAAAATGAGACTGATTCCGAATTGAAATCACAAACTTCTAAAATGACGCTCACTCCAAGTAGTAAAATTGATAAGGTGGATGTAACACCAAGTAGAAAAATAGATGGTGCAACATCTCTGACCCCAACTAGTAGACCAGCAGATGGGGCAAAAGATTCACCAAAACCCAGTAGGAGGGTCCAATTGATTACCCTTAGTGCTAGCCCCAGTTCTACTCCCCCTAACAGCCAAAATTAATCCTTGAATATACACTCCCCTCCACAAGACTTTGAACCAGAAGTCCATTTTGGATCACATATCAAAGATTGTTTATGTTTGGCAATTTAAAACAAATTTTCATAATTGTCATGAATTTCAGAACAATTATAATTAATCAACAAAATTAAGATCGAAACATTGATAGACATTGATATGTTATCTCATGAAAACTTCCAGTTGCCAAACTTATGGAGAGGAGTGTATAGTTTACATAGTAAATTGTACATGATCAGCCACAACCTACATCCTTGATCACTCGCCTACGGTGAGGCAAATTTAAATAGGTGAGGCAAAAATTATTTTACTTAATTTTACAAATTCTGTTCAATAATGTCTGAATTAATATATTTCTGTAAAATTTTGGTGAGGCAAATGACTAATCTGCATCATGCCTGGCTACATTAATGACAATTATACAAAAATAATTTTGTATATCTAAATTGAGATTCACACTGGATGACAGTGACTTTTAAATACTTGTGTATCTTATGAATTTGCCAGGATTTACAATGCAGTTCTAGACTACATATTCAGAGCCCTATGAACCATTGTGTATCTTCTTCTATACTTATTGAGGTTATAGGTAGATAATTAGATAACATAAGGAATATTTACTGTATTCAGGGAATCTGATGTTCCCAAGAACTTTCTTTTTAAACAAGAAGCAAATTGCACATTAATGTTAGCTCATGAAACTTAACTTATGAGATATCCAAAAAAATTGTCAAAAGTATTGAAAATGTGTACATATTATGAATGCAATGTAATGTAAGAATAATAGCATATTTATAGATAGATTAATAAACAACTAGACTCACACTTGATGTTTTTCTATCTTTAGTGTGAGGTATAAAATTACCTTAATACCTATAATATTATGTCACTACAATGAAATCATGACATATTGTTATTGCATAGGCTCTCTAATTTGCAGTAAATTGAGAAGTGATATGGACTTCAGAGCACAGTGATTGCCTACTCATCTGCTCATGGCATGGATGTTTTCACATTTTAGGCAAAATCCGTCACCATGGTAACATACTGTACTATAGAATTTTTTGTCGCTTAGCATTACTTGAGATTAAATCTGAGAAATGGTCAGATTAGTAGGCATCAATTGATAGCATACCTATAGAGTTATGTGGTTAAACTAAAAAGTATAAAATTAGTACTGAGATACTGCGTGTGACCAGAAGGCATCAAGTTGTCATGGTAATGGCCTGTTCTAACATCATATTGTGGTTATTTTCAGTCTTCTTAATCAAGAATATTTGTACTCGTTGAAGAGATACAGCACCCCTGGGGGATTAGTGACAGTCAGTAATGTTTTAAATAATCACCTAATGAATCTAAAATTGTGATGATGCTGTGTAGTATATGTATATGACCTCGCAATGATAATAGTAAGTAGTGGCAGGAATTGTATTTCAAAGTCAATAGTTAAAAAAGTTGCAGGAATTAAATGAGCAGGGAAAAGGATAATATGTGAGTAGTTCTGCTATTAAGACAGAGTAATGGGATTAGAAGAACCCACGTGAAACAATCCCTATTTCTATTAAAATGAGGTGCTTATCCACTTTCCAACAGAGTTTAGATATTGCTACATTAATTTGGCCTAATGTAGAACACTGTGATATTGCATTAACATGTTGTAAAAATGTATGACTTGTGTTTTCATAATCCAAGAGATCCATTGCGAAGTTATTTCTAAAAATGAGATATACAGGTTTGACTGGGTTTTGGGTGAGTTTTTAAGTATCATTAGATCCCCAATCCTCCCCCGATATTGATAACAGTGTCATTTACAGCTGAAGCATTTATAAATGAGTCTTATTATATCCACAATTATTTTTGAAACTTATTCGAAACCAATTAGTCATTATTATTCTGTATAGGAAAAATCGCATGAAACAATTGATGTCAGCTTATATTACTTTAATTATCCTGATATTGTATTAACGCAGACTGATCAAAGGTGTAAAGGTGTTATGTAAAAGTTAACGAAACGACAGTCAAATCGCGCGTTAAAGCCTGGTGTAAGAAAGTTAGTACGGTGATATATGAACGAGTCAAGGGCGTTATCAGAATTGTTCAAGGTTTGGTGCTAATACTACTAAAAATCTATCTGAAAGAGACTTTTCTTTCATCGGAGCACATAGTTTTTATTTTTTCCTCCGAATCTTTTCTCGGCTACATGAACGAAATCCCCGGGGTAAAGTAACTCAATAAATACCCCCTCCTTTGAACCAGGCGGTCGATCTTTTTATTATTTGATTCTAAAAATGCATGTCCTGAGAAAAAATCCTTAAAAAGTGGCCCTAGAACTTTTGAAAGACAGTTGACCAGACAGACAGGCAAAGATGATGACATATCTTGTAAGAGCCCCATAGGATCACCTCTTAGACCGGTGTAAAAGGGTAGGTGGTCCTATCAAATTTTGGTCCTACTCTCTAATGATTTATATGTTGACCTTATTACAATTATTTTCCGTATTATTTATACGCAGTCAGGGCCAGTAAGGACCGTAAGGAAAGGGACCATAATCCCCAGGGGAGGGGACCATAATTTCTTTTACACCGGCACAATTTGTGTGGGCCTGGCTCATACAATCACTGCAAAATTGCACATGCTTTGTAACAAACCTTACTCGTAGAATCCCCACATTGTCGCTGTCAGGTTGATGATTTTTATATTAAAAAGTGCCAATTAATTTACTTTTCCCAGCTGAGTACTTTTATGGAGAATAGAAATGAATCAGACATTAAAATATGAATTACAGGACGGAGTGTCCGATTCATGTCTCTTTAAGTCTTTTATTGCCCTAGTTATCTGATCTCGTCGTGAAAAAATCTGATTTGTCAAATCAGAATTTAATTTGTTGAAAAGGGTTGGCGCATAGCAATTGCATCCTTCATTCAAAGGACTTCATTTATTATTCAATTTATGGAAAGAAGTGAAATACCCTTGGACGAAGGATGAACAATTGGTCATTCAATCATTTGTACCAATAGGTTATTCCTGTCCCTGGTTCTTGTCTCTGATCAGCAGTTCATTAAACTTTGGGTGGGCGGAGTAGAAGCAAAATTTTGTTATTGAGCTTATGCTTGTTAAATTGCAGGCTCAAGTCATCGTACTCCATTATTTTAGGCTCATATCCCCATTTAAAGTTGATGAAGTGATGAGGCTATAACATAGATTAACAGAAAGACTATTAGAAATTCCAGTGCCAATTCTGGCATACAGACCATAGAACACTATAACTATTTTTCAGGTTCGTTTTTGGCATTTACTAGTACTAATTTCTATTCTCATTAACGGTCTACTTCGTTGTCTCAATTGCAATTATAAGTATGACGTTGTGCTATATTTATTACCTCAGTGTAAATACTCGCATCTGATTGGTCAATTAGCGGTCAACATTTTTGCCTGTACCTCACTTGTGCATCATGGGATATCATATTATCGACCGCGTATGTTACTGTACTACACTTGTGAATTATGGGAAATATGACGTCACAATGTTTACAGAAAAAACATGGTAGTCGGACATTTTGTACACATTGATGAAAGTGATATTTTGACTTTTCTACACGACGAGTATAGCAACAATACAAATAGAAACGCAAAATTAACATTAATTTACTGGTGAGTACGCAGTTGTGTGCCGAAAACAGAGAGTTTAGCTTCCACTGTCTTCAGATTTTCTTAGAAATTATTGCTGGCGTGGTTCGTAGAAAAGATTGTGAAATGAAGCCATGATTGATGACTGTCGTATAATATTATTAGTTTCTTCTGACTAACAAAACAATTGTAGACCTCTCTATTCGGTCAACCGTCAAAATCATATACCTCGACTGTAAACCTTGAAACACTGTTGACCTCGACCTTCGGTCTCTGCCAACAGTAGTTTCTCGGTTTACAGTCTTGGTATACAATTTTGCCGGTTGACCTCTGGAGAGGTCAACAATTGTATACTGTAAACATAGGTTAAGTAGTCACTGTAAGTGTATCAAAACAATAGAATACTGCTGTAATAGCTATTACCAGATTAACGCAGATCGTATTAGAAGTATTTGACAATAGATATTTTGCTTGTTCTCGGATGCATTTAACGATTGACTTTCATGGTCATAAAAGCTTCTATTTTCCAGTATTTGATGTATGTGGCCTTGTATCTTTATTTTTCCCACATCAAAGTGGATTTCAGAAGTATGAATCGATTTGAACTTTTGTTGCAATAATTCATCTAACGTCTGAATTGATTACCTGATTTAATGGCATTTCCATTGTTGCATTTTGTGCCTACAGTATACACTCGATTCCTTGGTTATTTTTTATTTTTCAGACAAAGAAGCATAAACCCATTTTATTCCTCCAATGAAGATCCCATCCATGTTGTTAGTTTTACAAGTTAGACATTGGAGAGAAAGAGAAACGATTGGTTTTTGATGCCGTGCAAAAATAAAACTTTATTTTACGAAGTTGGAAGTTCAAGATATCATCATACAAAAAGTCAAACTAATAGTAGCTCCATCATAAGACATGATTCGCAATTAAAGTCTGTAAAACATAAAATAGACACGCCTGTCTGTGTTCCCCATTACAGCACCGTGAAATCAAAGAATTATGGGAAGTCTACAGGCTCGTTGATTATTTCGTCCATTCGTTTATTTTTCTGCATTTTGACTGAGCGAAGACACCTATTGTGTAGACACATGAGGTACTTCCCTCGGCCGCCCTTGCCAATTCCTCCACAGTGGAACTGGATACAATGTGCTAATGTTTCTTCTGTCCGTTTGTCTATCATCGAAGGCTCTTCCATGTTATCATACCTGTAAAAGAAATATATTTATGATTACAGGGAAATTAATAGTAAGGTTATTTAATGAGAGGGTTGGAATATGAATTTTAAAATATCATATTGGTCAAGGAAAATATCATATTGACCGAGGGTGACGCTAATTGGGGATTTTTACCTCTAAATTAACATTTAATGAATATGTTACCGTCCTGTAAAAAAATCATTTTAATTCAAAAGTATTTCTATGGTTAAAGTTATTCATATAACAAAAAATCAAAACACACAAGAAGTGATCAAGACATTATAGCGCGAATCTTTTGGATTGCTGATTATGATTTTATAACCTGTTTAATGTCAGACAATGACTCCTGGTTCAAAAGCTCGTCTATTTTCAAAATGGCCGCCATTTTTGTCTCGTGAAATTCACTTTTGGACCATTTGGTAGCTTAATGAATAATTCCAGGTGTCCCGCATTGTAAAAAGCCATGTCAATGTAAAGAGTGTATGACATAGTTTTGTTACAAAAATCTATATCCGTTTTCTTATTTTCAGCCATTTTTAGTAAACATTGATTTGTCCATTTGTCTCGCGAAATCCACTTTTTGACCATTTCTTTTACAACCTCTGTTGATTGGATTCCCAATTTAAGTTATTTTTGTTCAACATCAATACAGAAAACTTCCCTATGATTCCTGGTTCAAAAGCTCGCCTATTTTCAAAATGGCCGCCATTTTTGTCTCGCGAAATTCTTGGACTATTTGGTAGCTTTATAAGTAATTTCAGGTGGCCTGCCTCGTAAAAAGCCATGTCACCGTAAAGAGTAGTTGTATCAAATAATTTTGTTACAAAAAATCGGGAAAAAAAATTATCCGTTTTTTTTATATTCAGCCTTTTTAGTTAACATTGATTTGTCCATCTGTCTCGCGAAATCCACTTTTGAACCATTTGGTTTAAAACATCTGTCGATAGGAATCCCGTTTTAAGTTATTTTTATTTGACACCAATACAGACCCCCCTCCCCATATGACTCCTGGTTCAAAAAGAATTGGCAAAAATTATCTGCTTTTTTTAATTGTCTGCCATTTTAGCCATCATTCACTTTTCTCTTTGCTGATCAATACCATGTGAGCCCAGGACCCACGGCACTATTTTATCATTGTTGGAAAATATCGAGATTGCATTCTGGGATCCAGTCGTCCTTGGTAATAGGCAGTATCTGTCATACATCATTTTTAATACCCCATTTACTATTAATTTTGCTTCTTAAAAGAAATCTTCATCCTCAAATGTGCCTAAAATTCTGACACTCAGGTACATCTTTAATTGATATTGCTTGAAAATTATAGTACATATTTTATTAAGAATTAATATACGACCTTGAAGCCAAGATAATAGTTGTAAAACTTGTAGAAACGTGTGGATAAGCACGTAGACCAAGATCCAGAATTTTATTGAAAGAAATCTTCATCCTCAAATGTGCCTAATGATATTATGATCAACGTCGCATTTCTAAGATTTGACATAGAATGCAAAGGGGTAGTATCAGGAAAGAACAAAGTACCAAGTATGGAAGTAAATACTACTGAATTGTGTAGAAATATCAGAAAATCAGGTAGCACATTCAAATATTAATCAGAAAACGGAGAGAACTGAGAGAGAAATTTAACAGAAAAAGTTTCTTAGCAGGGAAAATGTGCGAATGTGTAATATCCCAAGGGGTCACAATATTTTATGTGCTGTTTAATAAAATGATTGTAAAGTGCCAATAGTTGTGTGTCTTTAGTTGTAGTTTAGTGGCAGTTAGCACCATTGGCCATGGCCATGTTAATATAGCAGTATTTCCCCAAATAGGGTAATTCAAGCTTTTAATTGATTTTTAATGATGATTAACTGAGTCTAATTTGAAGGTCTTGGAATACAAATTTTATTTTAACTTATAAATTGATTTTTTAAAACAGGCCACAGGTTTTTCTGTTCACTTTTAAGTATTTGTTGATTGCATTTGTTAAACCTAATCGTGACGTCAATTTTACCAATATAAGTATCTGTTAATTGAGAAAGTTGGGGGGATTTTTTAAATTTCAATTCAATTTATTCTATACTGTATGAACATTTCATACTTCATTTTACCGTACATTATATGAAAAATCACCACAAGGGTTGTATATAATTCAACAATCCTATTTTTAGTTGTAGATAGAAGCTATATGAATCAAATTGAACATTCCTACGGAGTTTATGGTTTGAGAAAATTACAAACACAAACCCAAATATTATTTTCCAGAAATGCACAAAACCAAATACTCCTTCAAGTGTTCTGAAGAAATGTGTCGTTTAACGGCACTGAGAGTAGGATTTTACTTCATTAATAGGAAACCAATGTTTTATGATTAAGTAGAAGCTGTAACTTTAGTCCTGATTGAATCTACTAATGTCCTCAATTCACTATTTATTGTTCCATTGGGGGTGGTTGCAAAAGCGTTTCTTATTCTTGTCATTCTATTCCACCCTTTTCAATTGTATTATTTTACTTCTTAAAAGAGAGCTTCGTCTACACTCTATTACTCTTTAGTAACAATCCTTTGATATACCAATACTCAATTATGAATGGGTCAATGAAAATCCAACAAGTCAATCAACAGTTACAGGTATTTTATACATTCCGACTGAGGTAGTCAATAGTCATTTGTTTTATCAAATAAAAGACCACAATAGCTACGTTTAGGGTCATGAAGATCTCTTCAACATCCTACGTCCTTTTCAGAGCGTAGTGATAAACAGGTCCTTAGGTCCAGGGTAATTTCATTCAAGTCAGGCCTGTCTTCAATTTACTCAATGGTAATCGTTTGTTAGATCTAAGCTGGATCAGATTATTAGGTTTTTATCGTAAACGTGATTGACAATAGCCCTATTTTTTAAATGCTGACTAGTCTTTTGGGTCTATTTTTGGACATGTGGAGTTGGGACATTGAATGCATCTTAATTTGATTGAGTTTTCGCCTGATTTACAACACCTGGGTATTACAATATCTTCTTACTACATCTTGGTATTTTTTACCCTCGAATTCGAGCAAAAATCAGATCTAGAGAGAGGACTTAACAGAAAGTGTTTACAGGGTGTCCCACAAGTTATGATAATTGATTATGTTCACATGATAAAGAATTCACACATAGCTAGGTAAGGTGTGTCCGATTCCAGCCAACCCGAACAGAGTATTCACATAATGAACAGTGTGTGAAATATCAATAACGCATTTGTTGTGTACAATTGCTAAGCGATTGAGATTGAGTTTTCAAATACTTGCCCCTTGCAAAACGTTTCATTGAAAATATGTTCTTTAAGTGATTTTGTATCTTTTAGTTGATTTTATCATATAGAAAATATTTTGCAATGTGTGAAAAGAATTTCAGCCCAAGACTCAATGCATTGTGGCTGCTTCATTCTACTCAGATGTTGTTTCCTAAACTTTGCATTCCCCCTGTGGGGTCTTTGTGGAATGGTTAAACACACAATGCACTGAGTTCAATGCTTAAAGCCTTAAGCAATACTATATGTATTTAAGAAGGTTTTTGGCTCATGTCATTCCTTGTCATGTGTATTTTCTATAAATCCCGAAATTTCATACTTTATTTCAGGAAAACCAACAATGTCCCCCTATTTTTGCACTTTCCTTGGAAGAGCCCTGTGTTCTTTTATGTGGTCTCATACATAGTCATACAAGTACACACACAGCCTTTTCTACGTTGTGGACCACTCAGAACACCCTGAAGTACTTTGCCTATTGCTCATCCGTGTTTTCTTGGCAGGATTGGCTCATGGAAAATGACTATATGTTTGGTGGCATTTAAAGGTATAAATCGAGTTAATATATCAAATAGCAATTTGTAAATTGAACGATACGCTTCATGACAATCTGATTTATATGAGTAACCCATTATCACAGCGGAATACCCTGACAACGGTAAAGTCAGATGCCGTTGTGGCGATTCACGACCACATTTGATTGAGATAGGGTTTTCATATGATACACCATCACAAGAGCTTAATACATGCACAAAATCAGCGACGATAAGGTCCCATGAAATGAAACCGAGTGATTAAAGAGTTAAAACTACGGTTACGTTCGCCATTTGTGACAACGGTTGTCAAAATCTGTCAATGGTTGATGTTTTCTATTATCTTAATCGGGTGTAAATAATATTTTCAAGAGGGTGCAAGTCAATTTCTAGTATCTCGAATGCACTGGTGATCCGCTCGATTACACTGGTTACCGAAACGATTCGTTGCGGTAACAAAATGTCGGAACCTCGAAGGTACGATTTTTCTCTTTAACTTATTTCACGAGTTGTAGGCAGAATTCCCACGACATTTTTTATCACAAACACGTGTCAGTATCATTTGTACATGTTTGCGAACACATACTTTAGAAGACAATAGAATCGTCGATTTAAATCCTCACTATAGGTTACGTAAACGGAATGGGTTAGAAGTGCAGATCTTAACTGTTTTTGAACTTAAAATGAGGTTATAAATCGACGATTCGACGATGTTGTCTTCTGAACTATTTGTTCACAAACATGTTCATTTTCTTCAACATATGATATTGACACACGTTTTTGATAAAATGTCGTGGGAATTCTGCCTACAACGCGTGAAATAAGGAAAACAGAAAAATCGTACCTTCGAGGTTCCGACATTTTGTTACCGAAGCGTTTCGGTAACCAGCGAAATCGAGCGGATCACCAGTGGTATGGGTGCAGCACCATTGATGTAAGGGATCACCATGGGATGCAAAATGAGCTAAATTTGCTAACCTGTCTTTGAAGAGAGTGTTTGTGAGATCCAAGAGGCCTTTATCGTGATAGAACTTTGGTGCATAAATTGTAAAACAATGACCTGAAAATAAAAGTTGCATTATGAATTGCCATGTATAAAATTGAAATCAAAATGAAAAGTTTAATTTTTGGGCTTACAAGTATATGTAGAACTGTTGCCTAGTAACAGCATTGAACATATTCTACAAACGCGTGGTTCGAGACATCGTCCATTTTGAATGGAGGATGTCTGAAACATGTTTAATGATTGCGCTCAAAATCAAAACCCTACGCTATAGTCAAGTGTATACAGGGTTCCAAGCTAATATCTTAAAAAAACTTTTATCGTCACTATTGATATAATTTCCTTGATATATGTGGAATGGATAGAAGATGCCAATGTTTATGATTAATGCTATACTAGTATTAATTTAGTAAAAATAGTGTAGAATTGGGAACATTCTTCTGAACTCCGTAATCTGGTAATCTTTTAAATGTACAATAAAGATTTGAGAATTGAGAGCAATTCTTTTAAATTCTGTGTCACAATTTTACTCTATTTTTGCTCCCATCTTTGCATACCATGTCTCTTTTTTATATTGTCCAACAGTTCTGACTTTATTTATATGACAATTTTGATATTTAGGTTGTATGACAAATGTGAAAATCCTGGATGATTTTTTCCAATTCTAATTTTGGACGATTCTGAATCTTCAAGAACTTCCAAATTGTTTAGTACGCAAACATTTTGAAACGCTTTTTTGAAGAGACCTTCCAACCTTTCGTACACCCTATAGTCTGCTGCTATAGTAAGCAAAAATCAAATGGAGAGCACTTTGAAATACTTTTTGACAATGTTAAAGTACATAAAATGAAACCAAATGGTTGAAATAATGTAACGTTTACATTATATCAAACCAGAAAATATGACACATTTCACAACAAAAATCAAAAATCAAACCCCAATGAACAAATAAAATATAAACTAATAAAAATTTCAACGAAACTTACTTATGAAATTACAATCGTGTTTTTGAAAAGACAAAAAAAACAAAATCACTAGAAAGTAATTCCCACGTAAACCAAAATAAGAATCTTACCATTACAAATTGCTAGTAAGAATTCCGTTTCCATTTTTGATTTTTAGTTTGAACAAGGTACAATCTTACTTACTACAAGGTATGAGACAACAAAATTTGAACCCCCATAAACCCAACGAATAAAAAAGCTCAAATAAACTTACCATTAATAATGGCTAATAAGAGTAGGTAAAAGTTAATGGTCCAAGTCTTCATTTCACCTCCTATAATGTAACTCCAAACTCCAATACAAGCCCTGTTATATATTAGTCTGTCTACAAATGTCTAATATTTTGACTCTTGTAGAAGTGATGACGTCGTCAATCATTGAAGGCATGCTTAATAGAACTCTTTATTTGGGCCCACTGCTATGATACTTGCCTACATTCGTGTAATATTTAGTCTATTCTAGTTTTGAGATTCATACCTTTGATTCCACCACACCTGAAAATTTGCAATAGACTAGAAAAGGCTCTCACAATTTCTTGATAAATAATTCAGTGACTAATTAGAGAACCTCTTAACCAGATATGAACATCATTATACCAATTATCTATTTATTAAATTTAATTGCCATTATAGGATTTTTATTAGACCAACCTGTTTCTACTTGATTCATATAAAAATAACTCATTTAGATGGTAACTTATTGAAAAGCTACAAAGCTTGTTTCTTGGGGGGGCCATCTCAAAGTCAACGTTTGAACAGGCTGATTGTAGAACAAGGCAAACGACGAAATGCTACCACATGTAAATGGTTACAAACACGTATCATAATTGTTTAGTCTTGCAGACTTAAGACCATCCCCCGACCTCAAGTAGATAAGGGGGTGGGGGGATTTGGGGTCTTGATACCTTGTCGATTACTTGACATAAAATGGTCGATATAACACATATTCAAAATGTTCTGATGTAAGAAATTATCACTATAAACTGTTTTAGGGTACTCGAAACTGCCATTTATTTTTCATGAAATGTTTACTGACTAAAAGTGTACTTTGCATTGTTATGTAGATCAGATTGAACGCTTTTCAAAGTGGAACAAAATAGAATATGGAAAAGCTAAAATCCCAAGATATTAGGTTTGTGAGATGACCAATCAAGATGGCACAAGATCGTAATATTCTGAATGAAAACATATGGTCCTAATATACAACTTATTCTTCATTTATAATAAATTCTGATTTTCTTTAACTCTATTATTTCATATTTGATTTTGGTAATTTGCGTTTAGTATTATCTAGATCTATAGAAGATTGTACCAAGAGTTATCATTCATAGAAATACTACTACACTTTTACTGTAAAGCTAGAAATTTTGATTTGATGATTTTGCAAGTTTGTCATTTTATCCAGAAATCGAAAAAGCAGAACTTATTACCGTAGCTCATTTTATTGGCAAGTTAAACCATCAAATGATTTAAGTCACAGCTTCTCGCTAAAGCTAAGACGTGTTGAACGTCAACTTCATCGAAGATGATAAATGCTTACTGGAAGCATACGAGAGGCAAACTACTACTGAATAAATAAAACTGGACTAAACCCAGTGGCGTAGCTACGTGTACGCCAAGTACGCCCAGGCGTACTCTCAAATTTTAAGGAAAAATAAAATTTACCTGATTAATTGTGATGAAAAATAAATATTTCACCAAGAGATAGAAATCGATAGGAGATCTATAAAGACTCGTGTTAATAAATAAAAAAGTTCTCGATTATTTCATTTTCTTTGTTTTGAATCAGTTTGAAGCTTTAGCAGTTTGAAACGCATTAAGTCATACAGTACTTGCGTTCCACAATGAACGAGGAAAGACTTTCTTCCTTGGCCATGATACATATCCATAGGGAACAGGATATAAACATTGATACTGTTATTGACATGTTCGCAAATGCAAAAAACAGAAAGATAGAATTTATTCTATAGAATCACGTACAGATTGTTAAGATCCGAAATGGAGTTGAGACGGTCGTGTAACTGTTCTTTTATTGTTAATCATCTTGTGAGCTAGATAAAAACAAACACAGAAAAAATAATAATATTTCATGGAGAATGACCACAAAAGCTTAAAACAATGAGCCTCATACATACAGTTTTAGGTAGCCTAAAAAATAAAATCGCCTTGATAGACGGCTTCGATCGCCGATGGTATGATTATATAGAATCTGTCTATTTTGTTTCCCGAATATTATCTGTTAATACAGTTAATTCAATCCCTTTAAAAAGCTATGTCAAAATGATCAAACAATACATATTTCCTTCATTGAATTAAGAGTGTTTAGTATGTCCCCTATCTTCTGAACACCCGGGATCTTCCTATTTTATGGAACCATCGTTTTGTTAATTTTAATAAAACCGGGAAATCATACGGGCGTACACTCGCAAAATGGGCTAGCTACGCCTCTGAACCTGTAATACAGGGTGACACAAAACATTCAAGAAGATTCACTTATTATTGAGAAAGTTATTCCAAACTTTATATTATCCACTACTACATGCAAAGCCCCAGATGTCGTGTCGTTTCGTTTCGTTTGGAACACATGCTAAGCTCCCCGGGCATGAAAACCTTGGATTGAGCATGGGCTTTCTGTTGGGTGAGTTTATCACGTTTGTGTGGGTACATTGATGTGTTGTGGAAGTGACATTCGGTCAATTCTCCCATTCATTGATCCGAACGCCTTTTCTGAATGCGAATACTGTCTCAATAAATTAAATACAGTATTGCCTTCAAGTCCAACAATTCAGTGAATCATTTATCCATTCTTGCTTACCAAATTGTAAATAATTAATAGTACTCAATCGGGGACAATTATGCAATTGAATCACCCAAAGAATGATGGAAATCGATTTTCAGTTTTTACAAATGTACAGTAGTCGACTAAATAAAATAGATCTAATTTGGGTATAAAGTAATATAGAATAGTGTGGGAATGGGGAGTGAGATTAGGAACACATTTGGGTAAACTTTGAACTTAAACAATACTAGTCTCCCTTGTAAACATTTACGTCGCCAAAAAGCCATGAACATTGTGGCAACAAACTTCCACAAACTTGTACAACTTTTGATGAACATACAGCGAGGATCAAGCGGGGAAATAAAATGTCCAGTTGAAAGCTTTGAGATTAATTTGAACCAAAGAACTAAAAAATCTTTAGTAGGCAAGACTCAATAAATCCCTTCAATGGAAAAACAGGCAACTATATTAACAAAATTATGCCCTAAATAATCAGAGCAAACCCCGACAAATGAAAAACATCTACACTTACAAAAATGCACGAAAGCAGTGCTGGAAAGAAACATTTACAGGGAAGAAGTATGTGAAAACGATCGAGGCGAGGCACAAGAGTAACAATAACTAGACAAACAAAATGGACCATACTTACTATTTTGTTTGACATTTTGATTTTGATTTGATTTTCGAAAATAATTCAGTATTCTGTAACTTCCGAAGAAAAGCAAGATATTAACATCGCAGCATTGCCTCTCTGTTCTAAGAATTAAATAACAAATGCCAAACAGATACCAAATAACCGTGTCACTATTTGTTCACGCCAAAATATCCTGCAATCACTAAGTAGATATGGCATGAGCTGAGAGACAATCAACACTGAAGATTGCCGAAATATATTTTTAACTTTAACAACAATGTTTCCATGAATATTGGAGAGTTGGATATCAACAGAAGAAATCGATTATAAATAAGCCTGATAGTATGAGGTAGAACTTTTAATATCAGGATCCAATGTTTGGCAAGCTCATTAAAAATCTGGCTGTATTTCAAATCTTGGTATTTTTTAATCATTTGCGTCCTTTATTAACGGGAAATTCTGGCTGTGGATGTGTGGTTAAATGTCCAGGTTGTCAATAAATCTGATTATCAGGGTCATGTTTTTAGCTTGACTGATTGGACTGGTCACACTTCTAGGCTAATGAATAATCTTCCTCGATACCCTTAGGCTCGGGTTCTAGTAACTGCTACACTCTGATTAGGACAAATAAATAGATCAGTTGATGTTGTCAAGATTTACCTTCTTCTAAGGCCACTGTATCGTGGCCTTCCAGTACAGATATATTCCTGCATGAACAACTGGTCATGTCGTAATCATAAAATTTGAAATCATATGTCCGCCATTTTTCCACATCACAATTTGAATTGCGAGTTTTGGTCTTATTACCTCACCAAAAATTCCAAAACACACACAAAGTGATCAGTGTATTAGTTCACATCTTCTGGATCGCTAACTTAGAATTTACAGCCAGTTACTAATGTCAGACGTAACGACATTTCGTCCAGTTTTCGAACATCGCCATTTTTCTTGGAGCCATTTTGTTTTAATTTTAGACGAAATCCTGATGAAATCATGTCATATCTCATCAAGGAGCCGAGCTGGGTCCGGTTTGATTAATGATTTATTTATCTGGCGATTTTTAAAATATTCAATAAATTTATGACACCCCGGCAGCTTTTTTCAAATAGAGTTCACAGTATTCCAGATGAATCCCCTCTAGCCAAGTATTGGCTAGAGACTCGAGTAAGTCAAGATCATATATACTGAAAACAAAATTAACTGTTACTGAACCGAAAATCTAGGTCAGATTCATGTAGCAGTTCGTTCGGTGCGTTCTTGACTACCGCGCCGCAGCTCCTAAATTCATTACCGGGATATCCCACGCTTGCTGGGAAGTAACGTCATTCGTTGAGAGTGTTATGAGTTTATCAAAATTTCCTGCTGTTTTAACATTTAACAAACTATGATAACATTTCGTGTCACATGGACTATCTCCCAGTCTGTAAGAAAGAAGGTACCGGCGATAGCACTGAACGAACTAATTGTTTGCGTTGGGTACCATTTATCAAACCCCTACTAGCTACTCACATGTGATACAAGGAGATAGTTCGAGGTGCTATACAGAGTACCTGTAAAATCGACTCCCTGAACCGACCATATATGGGTAAAAATGCTACATTCTCTTCCGTTTGAATCTGGGCAACTCAAAAAAGCAGAATACTACAACAAAGGTAGAATGTAATTCGTCGGGTTCTTCAGCTCTGAGGCCCGGTGTAAAATGGTAGGAGGTCCTATTAATTTATGGTCCTACTCTCTCCGGTTGGTATTCGGCGTTCGGCGTCGACTGTAACAAATGGCCATGTCAGATGGTGACATTTTGCATGTTAATGCCATGTTAATATTGTGTTAAAAAGGAATATGTGAATTCATTTGTTTTGTCATTAGCTTTAATACGTCCATTTTGTTTCAATATTTGCTGATGATGCTTTTCTGAACACTAAACCTTGTGCAAAACGTGCATCAAGATGTGCATTCTATGCCTAATGGAGTACATGGGAA